ATCTCTGTTTGATATGCCTGGGTCAGTTACAGACCTATAAAACAGTGGATATTTTAGCAACCAATTTGCTTCTAGCAAAGAAAATCTCACTTTCAAAAAGGTTTGTCTACCAGCTGTAACAGCACATCTACATTCCCAACGATTCAAGTGGTTAGTTTACTTGTCTCGCTTTGCTTGTTATTTGGAACAACTTATTTTCCTGTGTTCACGCCCTGACAAAATCCTGAAATATTTGTCATGACTTAACCAAACAAAAATACAAATTAATCATATAAACATATCTTTCTCATAGTCACCAATGTATACATAAACTTCTTAATAGAAATTCTTTTTTAGTTTCCATGGCTACTCAGAGACTCAAAATCAAACATGTTTTGTGTACAATACTAATTGGCTGACCCAGATTGTTACCTTGTAAAACGACTGACAATAATTCAATAGGATTAACCAACTGAACTTTACTAATCCAATGTTCTAGGGTTTAATCATTGTACAGTGTAACCCGGATATAAGAGAGTTGTCGGGACTGGAGAAGAAGTCTCTTATATCCGGTTTTGTTCTATTTTGTTTAGGTAAGTATGGCTCTAATTTGGGACCAGAGAAAATCTCTTATATCCGGGTTACACTGTATTAGTAATAAACAAAAGATAAGAAGATGTAGCTCAATTTTAGACAATGAGAAATAGTTTGAAACCTCGTATTCAGCATAATATTGTCGTGTGCCCTTTGGAACAAAAACAGGGTTAATGTAATAATTGCAACTTTTGTTTACAGATTTCTATGAATAAGTCAAAATGTTTTGTCATCTGTATGAAGACAGTTGAAGGAGCCAATCAAGTTGAATTTTGTCACTGTTATATTTATGCAAAACAAAGATCTACTTGCAGGCAGACCAAAAAGCATTACACAGCCTAACATAATCATATGAGCAACTTTGGACTGGCCATTTGCCGATCCTCAATGCTGATTTATTCTGTTACACAGGTAGTTCAAATTAGCAAAATTTAACCAAAATCTCCATGAATAGTGTATCAGCAAATGGTGCAACATATTAAAATTAAGCTTCAATTTTTGGAGGTTAATTTTTTAGAATAGAATCATGTAGAAGACATTTTTAACTTTGTATTGCTTTAATGGAATTTCTTTTTATTTTTGGGTTGTTTCTTCTCATTGAAATTCTACAGAGAAATTTATTTAATACTTTGTGATTAAAACTCTTTAATTAGCCAGAGAAATAAAAAGAAATTGGAAGAGAGAATAAAGAGTGCCCAACAAAGCAGAGACATGTTTGGTTATCACTTGTCAAATGCTGCCGTTTGTTAAAAAATTCCTATTGTAATTTCTTTCTTGTTATTTCAAGCAGAAGAAAACTTTAAATTTATGTATCAGAAAGCAAATAATCAAAAATGTAAACTTTTCAAGAAGTGACTGTCATTTGCTGAAAGCAAAATGCTTTTCTCAAAAGATCATTAACCTCTTTCTCCACCAATTATTTTGGGAAGAACATTTTATTTTCAGATGAATTTTTTTGTCTTTAATCTAATAACTAAGAACTCTTGAAGTACCCAAGCAGTAGCTAACACCTCTAGTAAATGTCAGAATTGACAATTGAACTTGTTTCATGCTCAGAAGGGCATAAAAAGAATCAAGATTGATGTACAAACATGTTTCTAGCTGGTTTTTGAACATTATATTTTTGACATATTTATTTGTCCGTATCTGAAAAAGACTTTTGCTAAAAAAACGTATATAGACATCTACATTGGGGAAGGGACTAATTACAGCTTCATCAGTTGGAAATCAATGTCAGTTGGTTTTTGATAAATACTTTAAAACCTTTATCCTGAATTTGGACAGAAGAAATTAAAGGTGTCTTTTGGGAATGTAAAAATGCCATTTATATTGCAGTCTGAATTTCATTCTTGTGTGTGCGTGTTCAGATTACACGTTTCATAAACAGACATTATATGAAATAGATGCTGATAACGTTCTTGGTCTGACCCACTTCCTCAAATGACATCAATTTGTTGTTTTTTTTATCTTTGGAAATGCTACTTGGCAAGGATGAGAAGACTTAAGGATTTTCTCAAATATTTTTAGTTGTTTCCGATTGAAGAGCCGAGATCCAGAAAGATACAATACTCAAAAACAAATACTCTGGTTGTGGATGTTAATGTTTAACTTCCCTGGATGACATGATATTTTATTGTCTATACATTTACCATTTAGACAAACCAAAAAAAGTCCAAGATTTTGTTTAATTTTTTGAAAAAACTTCTATAGTATTTTATATAACAAAAGAATTTTTAAACCCTTTTTCGTATCAAGGGAAATAACTTTCTTTTTATTCTGATATTAGAAAAACTTTAATCAAATTATATATATATATATATATATATATATATATATATATATATATATATTCACTTTTTAATGTCTTGCAGAAGACTAACTCAATTCGATTTCATTAACTAAAATGCTGTACATTAGAACAACAATATTGAGGCAAACAAGTGAAATATTTTATTTTTTTGTACTTTGAAAATTCATCAAAAAAAAAAAAAAAAAAGAAAAGAATTTTTGGCAAAAAATAATTGGAGGAAAATCAGTTACTATTACCTGAAGTTGCCAGTTCCGTCCAGCCAAACACAAGTTTAAAGCCCAAACTAAAAATACCAGCTGGCTGTAGAGGAGCATATGCTATTGAATTAGTCTAAGTAACATTGTGATGTTTGTGTAATGGCAGTATGAGTCAAAATGTATGACTTATTTTGTGATACACCATGAGTAGCAGGCATGGATAAAATTTAGAAATAAATCCAATTTGGCAAAGGTTAAAAAATATTTTAACAAATAACAGTTAATGATTTAGGTTAAAATCATTATTTACTCAGTACTCAGGATATATTTCCAGTTTTGCACTAAATTGTGTTTTGGGTAATTTTTTCTGTACTTACAAGAATGATTGATCTAATTAAAACCTTTCATCTTGGAGTGTTGCAGATAAGAACAAAAGAATTATTATTAAGTAATTTACAAACCTTAAAAAATTGTTAAAAAATCAGTTTGTGGTTCTACTGATTCACTTGTGATTGGAAGCAGAAAATAAAAATTCCTTTGAAAATGTTTAGTAAAATTAAGCATTGCCCAGTTTACATCTTGCTTTCATGAAAAAATGATAAAATGGCATTTATATAACAAAAATATAATTTAAACATTTTAAATTAACAAATTTTAACTTTCTGATGCAAATAATTATAAAATGTCTATCCAAAAAAAAAAAAAAAAAAAAAAAATTTAGATTCACTCATATTGTAACAGATTGAACATTAAAAGAGAACAAATTTAGAAAATACAATATGAAGTATAAACACTTCAGAAAAGAAAAAACTTGTCTTTCATAGTTTTATTAAATTACAATAACACCATAATACGATATTTTCTCAACATATGGCATTACTCTCATGGCTCTTATTCAACTAAGATAACGTGTATTGATCTTGCAATGTCTGAATAAATTTAGTATTTTTCCTTTCCTGAAGTTGTATATATTTTGGGGGCAAACTCTGTATATAGTTGAAGTTTTAAAAAAAAAAAAAAAAAACAAACTTTCTGAGAATTAAATTCTTAATATAAAAATATAAAAATACTGTCTTGAACGGAAAGCCTCGTTAAGACATAAAATCCATCCAATTTATTGGCAATAAAAATGTACTCAGTTTAATAATATTTTAAATTTTCCATTTTTTAATGGATCTTCATAAGTGTCAGATTTTTTAATCAAATTTTCATGCATTTTACAAAAGATTTTCATGAGCTTCTAATGATTTTTTTTAATCAATTCTCAGGTCTATAAAATTTTGTATGCCCAGAAAGAAGTTTTAATGATATCTTATTAGTCCTTAATTTCTGTGCCCCTCCTCAATAGAATTTTAAATATTGTTTAGATTTTTTTACAGGCATCTCAAAGTCTTCATAGTTCACCAGAAATGTTTCAAATAACTTCCATCCATTGTTAAAGAATTTACAGATTTGAGAACCTGGCAAAATTGAACATTTATATACACACAAACACACACACAAAAAAAAAAATGAAAGAAAGAAAAGAAAAATGTTTTTTCTCCTTGACACTGCCATTAATGTGTATACTCCCTTGGTAATTTTTTAGAATTTTAATGAACCCCACCAAACATATGAAATGGGATTTATGCATTTGCTTTTCTCTTGAAAATAAACAGAATTAAGCACTATTTTATAAAAATATAATAACATTTTTTTATAAAAATATGTGAGACAACTACAATGCAATATTTATTATTTACCCCATTATAAAGAAATAACTATAAAGACATTTTTTTTATTCATAAATTTATAAAAGTGTCTGAAGAAGAAAATTTAAAGAAACATAAATATGAATAAGTGCAATTATAAATTTTGAAAAATGGATTTTTGGGGGCATTTCTTTCATTTGCTCTTGCTGCATAAATTCACTGAAATAAAGTGCATAATCTGAATTTATACTTCTTTTTCCTTAAGAATTGACAACAAAAATGTTAAACACTATTTATTTATTAGACTGTTTATTTACAAGAATAGTGTTTCATAATTTTGTTGTTAGTTCTTGAGAGAAAAAAGAATGTATAAATCTAGTTTTATTAAAATTCTAAAAATAGCTTTTTTAAAAGAATCAAAATTGCTAAGGGGGGAGTATACAGTAATGGTGGTGTCAAGAGAAAAACTCTGTTTTTTTTTTTGTGTGCATAGGAATGTTATACTTTGCCGAGGACCCAATAAATTTTGCGGACATAATTCAGAAATCTTTTCAATATTTTTTTTTTTTTTACAATTTGATTGTTCATCTTTAAGAAATCTTTTCATTGTATAAACTAAAGTTTATAAAAATTAAAAATATATCGAATCTGTATTCAGTTATGTTTTTATGTTAAATGATTTATGATAATCTGCAAGTGGAAAAGAAGTGAGGCTAATATTGAATCCAATCAAAATCCAAGTGGATGTGTTGCTGCTGTTGATCCATATTCCACAATATCACGTGAGATCATAGACATTTTCTGAAAATTCTTTAATTTTTGTTGGTCTTTGGTAATTTTCAAATACTCTCTCACTTGGTCATGGGCCTGAAGGATTAAAAAAAAATGGAAAAAAAAAATATAAAAATAACAAATTGTACATGATTCCAAATAAATAAAAATTAATGACTTCATGAAACATTCAATAATCTCTGTGTTGTGAAGTTCAAGTTAGCACTAGTCAGCTGCTAAGCTCGTACTTGCTAGTGGTTATTCTCAGTAACCACTTATATTGAATGTTCAGTTCTACTTATGCAAATTATGCATACTAATTTGCTAGTACCATTACACTCTGCTCTTTAGACTGAATGTGATTTTAAAAACAGGGGAGGGGGAAATAAAAAAAAAATGTCACTGTCTCCTATGACAAATATTTTCTTAAGGTGATGAAAAGTTCCTGGTCTGACATACTTCCCAAATCTGACCAAACATCAAATCCTTTTGGGTTTTCCCAAGAATTTTACAGCACCCCCATATATGTCCCATTGGATATGCCAGTTGGTGGTGCTGTTTCAGAAAATGGAAGTTGTAGACTGAGTTCAGATTCTACTTGATGTCATTGCACAAATTTTGATTCCACCTGTTCCCACTCCACCTATGAATAAAATAGCAGGAAAGACTAGGTTCTCTAGCTGTAGTAGAGAAACAAATCTACAAAAAAGACAAGTCTGATATTCAAAAACAGAAAGGAAATAACAGGAAACCACTCCAATACCTTCCCCAAGAACATTCATAGAGATTCACTATTTACAGATATTAAGAAAAGGGAGTTGTAGAGAGCCATGATTGCCTACATCTAGAAAAGACAGACACTGATGCACCAAAAATCATGGGATAGTTGCTTAGTATTGCATAGGACCCCTTCTAGCTGCTGAAAGGGCAGTGACTTGATGTAGTATTGATTCCATAAACAGTCAGAAGACACTCTTTGAGAGATGTAAAGCCATGCTGTTTTGATAACTGTCCATAGCTACCTGGTATTTGTAGGGACAAGGATTTCAGGTGCTGTTTTTTTTTGTTCTGTTTTGGGGAGATGTTAGATTTTGTGAGGAGTAAGGTTTTCTTCTTCACTGGTTTTATACACGATTCCTACAGATCTGTGGAAAAAAAATTCCAGGACTTTTCAAAGACATTTCCAGGACAATGTTTAAAAAGTTTCAAGGATTGAAACTGGTGTATACATATAAGCATACATAAAATTAATGGTCATCAATTTCAAAAACATAAACTTTGTGATTTATCTTTTAATAGTTTGACAGATGAGATGTTCAAAGAAAAGTTACATCTAGTTCTAATAATTTATGTCACATGGATCAGTTGAAAACCATGAAGAAATCAAAGTGTTGAAGACTAAATTTAACAAATGAATACAGACCTGGTTATGTTACACATTTTGTGCAGCATTCTGCACAATTTGGAGTTCTTCTACACTTGAAAATTTTGAATTACTTTAATTTTTACTGCTACATATTTCAGCTATCTCGACTATTCATGGTTTGTAAATGTCACAAAATTTCTTGATTGCTGCACATTTCCTGGGAAGTTAAGTATAATGGTTTTAATGAACAAAACTACAAATAGAAATTTTCACAAAAAAAACTACAACATTTTAGCTACCCTTACTACTCATGGCTTTTGTTGTTCATGGTGCAGAACACGATGATGATACCATTTTTTCAGTTCATCTAGTTTAGCATTCAGCTCTTCTTCCAATTTGGATATCTCTATGGATTTGTCCTTTGAAGATCTTCGCATGGCATTAGAGTGTGAAGTTCTGAATTTGCTCAGATTTCTTCACAAAGCTGTCAGCTGATTTGAGAAAATCTTGTGTACAACTTTCAGGCTTGTGTTTTTTGGTCTTCAGTTCTTCGAATTTCCATAAGGATGGATTTCCATTTTTGTCCAGCTGCTTCTTCCTGCCTTTTTTCTTCTAAGCCTCCAGATATTGGTTGTATGCTGTTTTGGCATTGGAAGCACTGCAGAGAAGAGCCTTAGTCATACAAACATTCCCAGCACCTCCAACTGTGGCTAAATAGTCTGTAATAATGCACTGTGTGGCCAGAGTCTGCTGATTCATATTGTCAGTGGAAATTTCCTTATTGACTGAGAAACCTCTCTCTACTGAGGCATGCCCCAGCAATTTGTGAACAATTTTCCACAGTTTTTTATATACTTTGTTGCTAGACAAAGAAGAGTAGAACAAAGTCTCCAGACAGTCCTCATGCTTGCTGAAATTCTTGAAAGTAATATTTCCAGCAGCCTCCTCCTCCTCCTCCTCCAAACTCTTTGTACTGACTGATGATGTCATCATAATCAGACTTACTGACTTGTTTTCTGTCCATCATGTGGGGGAAGACATTTTTTAGACTGTCTTCTGTGGTATTTTTTTTTCACAAATGGATCCAGGGTTCAGCCATGAATGTGATCTTACAAGAGGGGAGACTTTACCAGAAGTTTCTCAATGATGGTGATGAACATTGTCTTTGTCACAATTCTGCAATCAAACAGATCTTTTGTTGACACATTTCCTTTTTTGGATAAATTTTGCAAAGCCCTATCTGCCAGAAATCCACATTCAATCTTTGCAGCATCTTTATGCATGTTTGGGTTTGACAAAATTCTTACAAATTCATTCAATTTGGAAAATGTAATTATCTTTTTAGTATGCTCTTCCTTTACAAATCTTAACAATTTCATGATCATGCTAAAAAGATCGTCTGCAAGGAAAGGAAGCAACAATTTATCACTCTGATATTTTATCAGAAATGGTTCAATGTATTTCAAAACACACAAAAATCTGCATTTTCACTGGAAATAAAAAAATCATTCATGTTTGACAGTACTGCAGAGAAGGACTTGGCCTGGGGACATTCTTCTGTTTTTTTTTTTTTTAATTAAGTTCACAAATTTGATGACATCTGGCCAAATACCTAGGAGTCATTCACATGTTTGTTCATTTTCTAGCCATCTATGGCAGAAATACAAAAGTAAAGGGACAGGGTTGCCAAATTGAACTTTTAAAAAAAGCAATAAAAGCCAAATAAAAAAATATTTCATCATTTTTTCACGCTTACAACAAAAAGCTAGAGATACAAGTCATCATTATCCTGGAAACTTTAAAATAACATTTTTTTATTTTCTATCCTAAGACACAATCAAAGGCACATTTTCTATCATCTTTCTTTGAATCAAATTTGATTCTCAAACTTGTTATTTCTGGCAACAAATACAAACATAGTTTACACATAGATACACATTGACATTCTGTGTCAATGTGTATCTATGTGTAAGCAACGCATAAAATATCTATTTTTTTAGCATGAACTCACCCACCACCGAATAGAGATCAAAAGGACTTTTTACTTTTGAAATTGACATGTGAATAAAATTTTTTCAATTGTTCAAATTTTAAAGAACACTAAATTTTGTTTGAAATTCTACTAAAATGTGTTTTATTACTGTAAAATAATTTATTATTTTCCTACAAATTCAATGAGTGTGAATTTATCTTTGACGGAGATGTTTATTTGTCACTGATGCTTTTTATCTTTGCTTTTCCTCTTCTCTTGTTGAATGAGGGTGGCAGCTAGAAAAAAACACGCATTCATATTCTTTCTTGTCATCTAGACAGAAGTAACTACAAGGTCATGATCTTGTTCTAATCAAGGAGACAAACCACCGTTTGCTATAAGTGCCAAATATTACTGATGACTAAAATAACATTTCTCTTAAAGGACAATTTTAGCTTGTAAAAAAGCCAGATTTCTGAGATTTAGCATTTTAACTTTCATGAATTGAAAAAAAGGGGTGTGTGGTCAGCCCAATTTAGAAAATTCCAGGACTTTTCAAGAAGCTTTTGGGCTTTTTTCCCAAGACTTTTCAGGCCCTGGAAAAACTCTGTGAGTCCTGGAAAACTGACAGAGTCTTTTCTAGGACTTTTCAATGTTTCCAGGACCTGTACAAACCTTGTTTATACTTCCCTCTAACAATGACCAAACTGACCACTTCAAGTGTTCAGAATAAATAATGATCACAACTCTAATGGCATCCAAAAGAGGATTGCAATAAAAACATTGGAACTCCATTTAAACAAACTGATTGACCAATGTAAAAAGTTTAGTTAAATGTCAAAATACACACATGGGTTTATTTGTGATTACAGAGTATTGTTTTTGTCTATTGATAATACACAATCTCTAAGAAGAAACCACATCCCTTGAACACCTTAGATCACTTCACGGTTATTAATCATTTGCCTTCTACTTTATATGGTATACATTGGTTTCATTTTTGACAGTTGTTTATTTTACTGGAGAACAGGTGTAGCCTATTCGTGCCTGCCCAATTATCAATGTTGCATGCCAAAAAGTGTTTCATCTTGTAATACCTTGAGTAACACACTTGCCCATACCATGACCAAAATGTGGTTCTATTGTTTTCATTATATAATGACTACATGTGTAGTTCATCATTAAACTCACAATGTATTTATTACAGTAACTAGTAAATAGATTTCCTGACAGAAGAAATGATTATGAGACAAAAATAATTACCTCTTCACAGAAAACGTTGCACAGTAGAGTCTCATGAGTAGCTGAAGGCAGCTTTTGTTCAAGTGAACGAGATGTTCGGGACAGGGTACTGACCATAGCATAAATGTTAATGGCTGAATCTGCAATTCGGTTTAAAATAAACTGCTCCTCTGCAAAGAAAATTTTAAAATATCTTTAATCATTATTGGAGAAAAGAAAACATTAATACAAATATACCTAAATCAATAGTAATTTGGGTTTATAACAATACTAATTCCTGTCCCATAATAGTTTTGACATTTAGTGGTTGAAATGTATATGTAAATATGTCAAATATTATGGGAAATAGGATGTATAATCATAATGTATTATAGGTACCTTCACTAATTTGTGATACCTAAGGTTTAAAATGGATTTTTAAAAATGAAAAAGCTTTCTGAAGCTTTCATTTTAGCTTTAATTTAAAGCTAAAGGATTAAATTTCCATTAAGCAAAATACTCTGGTATATTTCAAACAGAAATTATTTTGATTGGAATAGATATTTTTTTTGATAAAACAGCTGATTAGCGCCCTTTTTTAGTTGTCTTTCATCACAATGTAATTCTCTTTAAAAATTTTTCCAAAAATAAAATATACTTTTCTGAAAGTTTATTTGAGAAATATTAGCTGATTTAAAGTATAATTAATCTGATTTGAAACAAATATTATTTACTTTAAGTTTAAAATAACACAGAAATGCCTTTTTAAAACAAACAGTAGCTGTGTTTTTAACTGACAGTTGCCATGTTTACATGTTTGACGAATGTTGACAAATGATGAAAAGACATGTTTATTGTTGTTCTACAGAGACTTTATGTGTAAAACAATGTAAGAAAATGACATGAGTGCTGTTTTTATATAATTTTTAAGTACTCAGTAATCTTAAAAATGTTGGAAAAGATTCTCTGTAATCTAATTTTAGGAATGTTGAGTTTAAATTTATTATAGTGATCACTCTTATCTGATAATGTCATGTACGGTTGACCATACTTTCAAAAATGGGCATGTTTATATACATAAAATAAAATTTAAAATTCTTTTAAAAAATAAAATGAAAGCAATTATTGTAAAAATTCATTATTCATCAAAAAAATCTTTTTCTTAAGACAATGGTGTCCTTAATATATCTTATTTATAAAAACAATTAAAAGCTTTCTTAACAAAAAAAAAAAAAAAATGCAATAAAACTATAACATTAAATAATGTTGTAGTTTTATTGCATTTTTTCTGATTCAGAACAGATTTTTGGTAAATGTTCCTGCTCAACAAAAACAAATTGATAATTTAAATTCTCCAAGGAGTCCTGTTTTTAATATAAATATGGAAAGGCTGAAATTCCTAAAATTATGTAGGGGGTAACAGACAAAAAAAAAAAATACTTTTAACAAGATTTTCTAAAAAAAAAAAAATCATTCAGTCCTTAAAATTTAATTAAAATCTGACAATTATTTGATTTTTGAAAGATTTTCCAAATCAATGTGTTTTTACCGGCTGTCTTTACTGTATTCTGGAAAATGCCAGTACAAAAGTCAAGTTTTCAAGAGACCAAGAGCTGTTAGGTTATACTACACTGTGGCAGACATGATGAGACAGAACCTGGGATGAGCACAACTGGTTGTGACTTGCCTTGTCCCCGCCAAAAAAGAGCCTGTATTTGCTTAGCATGTAAAGCTACTGCAGTTGAAATGAGGGAGAAAAAAGCACGTATCGCTCTGCTGTAATCCGTCCTTGGCCAGATAACTTAAAAGAATGAGGGGGGGACTTGCATTGCATTTTTATGCAATAAAGATGCAATGCATTATGGGACATGGACGCAATGAATTATGGGATCACATGAAGACACAAGAGATTATGGGTATATGGACAAATATAAAAGCAACTATTTTTTCCCAGTTGGGGGATTCTTGGAGTGACATTCATGGTTGGCGGCTAGAAAAGTCTGTTAGTGCGATTTTGAGACAGAACTCAAGAAGGAACGACTCGAGGTTGGAATACCAGCTGGGAGAGCTTGAATTTACTCACTGGTTGCTGTTTTCTTTTTATTCGCCACATACACAGTATAAATCATTTCTGCAGTGAAGTGTACAAATATTTACACTGCGTATGATAAAACTAGGAATAATATTAGAGTTTATTTTTAGTGTTAACCTTCAATTAAATAAAGTACTTGAAGAAAATCATGAGCCTTGGACAGTTCAACCAGAATTTTTATTGGATGTACAACAACTTATTTCCAAATTGAAAAAAATAAAATTAAAAATGAAACAGATAGACCTTATAAGTTGAAAATAAGTTTTTTTTAATCATTTCACTCAAAGTACGGCAACAAAGCCACTAAGATGCTGGGGGGTGGGATTACTGAGTGTAAAATAATATAAAAAAAGAAAATCATTATTAAAGAGTGAGAACAATAAAAGAACAGAAATTGAGAGAAGATAACGCCTGACATTGTATTTAAATTTTTGAAAACAAATTTGACTGGGAAGCAAGAAGTGTGAGTAAAGACACTGTTAACATAGAACTTATGGTTCCATCTAGCCATTTCAAATGTAAAATGATGAGACATTGCCACCAATCTAGTATTGTGTTTATGCTTGGGTTCCATTCCCAAGTTGCCCCATTTTATAGATGCTATATACAAATCAAATAGACTGTATTCCAAAATCTGAAAGAAATCTAAAAACTGAAGCACTTCCAGTCCCAAGAATTTCAGATAAAGGATTTTGAACCTAACAAAAAAATAGCCTACCTAGGGTAATGCTGCTCTCAAACCCTTATATAAAATTTACTCCTCTTATTAAAACTACTACCCTTGGGACTTCACAGACTTATTTACACATGCCTTTCATGATGATGTTATATTTTGCAAAAAAAAAAAAAGCCCTTCATAAATCTTTGTTGATATATTCTATTGGTCATTGTAATGATTTCAGAGTAACAACTGCACTCAATGGTATCTCATTGTTGACTGAGTAACCTTGTGGGAGAGTTTCTGTCTGAATTTCTGAAAAGGTGAGTTATCATTATTTATATGCAGACAAGTGTCCTCATCTTGTTGTTATGATAATGTTTCAACTATTATGCCATCCAGCTTTCATCAGGTGTTTCTTGATCTGGGTAACCTTCAGGCAATAGTAATTGTGAGTTTAATCTCTGGAATGGGTAGTGTATACGTGGAAACAGAGCACGTAATAACTGAACAATACTAAATAAGAATGAGATGTGCCTAGATAGTGGAACAAGAACAACATAAGCCAGTATTTTACTCATGGGGAAGTGCTTCATGCATGCAGAATAAGTTCCTGTTTGATTGGCTGCTGATTATATCAAAGCTGCACAATTAGCTCTTGAGAGATTCAAAATAACAGAATATTTTCTGGATGGACTTTGTATGGTCAGGTACATACATAAAGTTCATGAATGTACAGAGTGCGATGGGTAAATTGTCGCCGTTTTATATTTTTAATTTTGCGCATATGCGTTGTTTTTGATTTTGTCAACTGCACAGTATAGTAGGGTCAGTTGTGCACTGACTGTGAGAAAATGAGTACCATGATGCAATTCACACTGCTAGAAATTTGGAAACAACATTCTGTACTGCTTGGCATTCGCACCAATACAAACATTTCAGAGTGTTTGGATTGTGCAGAGCATTTGGAAAGCGTTAGAGGAGTTTAATGGTGATTATGAAGGTGTTTGGGATGATCATTAGTGATATCAACCATCCCACAGGGCCTCAGTCTTAACACAGAGGCCCACATCAAGTGCCTTGAGGAAGTAGTGCGGCCCTAGGTTAAGAGGGTGGCTGCTGGAAGACCCTATGTCTGGCAACAGGATTTTGCACCATGTCACACAAGCAGGAGAACCCAGTCATGGCTGTCAAACAATTTCTGAAACCACATCACCCCTTATATCTGGCTACCAAACTTCCCAGATTGCAACCCCTTGATTATTATGTGTGGTGCACAGTTAAGTGAGAGACCAGCAAAACTCCTTGTAACACCGAAGACGAACTGAAGGCTAGGATTATGGCAGCATTCACCAACTTAAACAAGGAGACTGTTCAGAAAAGTTGCAGGAGATTCTGAAGTCGTCGTGATTGAAGGCAATGGCGATTTTATTGAATAAATTAACTCTAGTATTTCTAAAGATATTTTTGTGTAATTTTGGTAAATATATCTGTTAAACTGAGATGTCAGTGTTATTTTCATTTTTGTGTAATTTAAACAACAATTTATTTATTGCATCCTTTAAATAAGAAAATTTTACTTACCAACAATTTTTTTACCATGTTTAATCAGCAGAGATTCGACAATTTCCCCAAATAAAGTAATGCATTTGGCTGTCTGCACAAGACAAATAGAAAAATCTTTTTTCGTCAACAAATCCAAATTAAGTAAATCAAAACCAAAATAAATATTATTTATATTAGCTCTTTTCACAAAATGAAAGCAATTGCAATGTGAAATTTCCAAAAATCCTTTCCAAAAAGAAAACATCATAAAAATGTATTTCTTGACCAATCAAAGTGCATCACTAAAGAACCATTTTTTTGCAATCTCTCCAAACTTTTATAAACGTAGAAGGTGTAAAATTCAGAATGCCACCAAAGCTAATCAACACCATTCTTCCTCTAAGGAAACACAATGAATCCATGAATCCAACAGTTCAAAACAATCACTTATCAGAGAATTGCACATCAAGACTAATATTAAATTTTATAAGATGAAGACATCAGCTTTCCTGCATATTTACTCAACAGTATTTATTTTATTCTTGCTTTTCATGTCAAACAGACATTCTCTCTCTCTCATTATAAATTAAACAGAAATGTGATAGACTCACAATTTATATTTTAGAAGCTCATCTTTCATGAATGATGCCTTAAGCAATTTAACTATAGAAACTTTTGGTTAGATGTGACACAAATTTACCAAGTTATATTGCTTTTTGATTTTACTGTCTCATAATAGTTGTAGATTATTCTAATTGTATGATTAACTATTTTTGATTCTTAATTAAAAAGATTGTCTTTTGATTTTACCTTGTCTGCAGAATCAGTCAAATCTGGATGGACATATTCTTTTAAAGAAGGACCACTTGTCAAACCAACTATCCTAAAAAGATAAAGAGATTTTACTATTTAGAATGTCATTTCTTTCCAGGAAGCAAAGACAACAACCATTTCCAAACTCACCCATTCTACCTGAAATATAACGACCCTGGCAAAGATAGGTGTCAAATGTCCTTTGCATAAAACATCTTAATACAATTCTCTCTTGTCAATAAGACAAATAAAAATAAATACTGTATTTCCTGCTGTATAATACTCATCTGTGTATAATATGAAAAAAACAAACCCAAAAACTAAAATTGTAATTATAACATTTTTTGTGCAATTATTTTTTTTAAGTTAAATCATTTACATAATTATTTATTTGAATTAAATCAGTATAGTCCTATATATTTCATTTTGGAGGGTTTGTCAGTGGATGGTGGTGTTTACGTGTTAGTCTGATATGGTTAGCCTTTACCCCAAAGGTTTATCCAACCAAAACTATCAAATACAGGATGATTTTTGAAGGATTTTTTATAATAATTATCTGTGTAATTAGTTTGTAATTATTTCTATGCAAAACTTATAAATCCTTTGCTAGATCTGTCCTTAACCCTTCCACTGCCAGGGAGATATTTATATGTCTTGACAAAACTTACATGGCCTGCAGTCAATGTTTTCAAGATGTATTTATATTTAAGCATCTTTATGAAGCTTACATTGTCTGCTGATGATGCATATATACATTTTCAAGATATGCATCTTTACAAAATTTACATTTCCTGCTGTTGACACATTTTTTCAAGAAAACTTATCCATCATTATGAAACTTACGTTGCCTGCTGTTGACACATATTTTCAAGAAAACTTATCCATCATTATGAAACTTACGTTGCCTGCTGTTGACATATATATATACAACAGCTTTCAAGACACTGTTATGCCTTAACTATGCCATAGATTGATGGTTTGAGTAAAAGTTGGCATAAAAGCAACCATTGAAAGTAAATGCTAGTCAAAAATGAATAAGGGTTGACAATGATTTCTCTTATGAAAAGAAAATTACTGCTACCATTACAACTAGTGTTTAAAACAAATGATGGCCAAAGAGGTTACAGAATGGGGTGATGAGTTTATAATTTAGATTTGGCATTCTGAAAAGACGTTTGCAAGTTCTTATAGCAAAATGTTTAGAGCAGCTGTGTTCATCAGGCTTCCATGAGGCACAAGAGTTGAAATCTTGCCAAAAGCTTGGCCTCATTTTCTTATACTGTGCTGTCTACTCATTGCTGTATATTGAGGGCCTGAATAAAATTGCAATAAAAAAAATATTGGATGAAAGTAAGTCCTTATCAAAATGAATAATCTTAATTAGAGCCCCAAATTGATTAACAGAGGAGGAGTCTACACTAATCACTCAATTTTGTAACTAATACCAATAGCTTGTCTCTGATCCATGAGAAATTAAAGATGGATGTCAATAATTTTAGTTCCACGTCACTCAAAAAGGTTAAGTCTTTAAAGGTAAGACAAGGGGAGACAACTAGACTATGTTTGACTTGGTTGTCTTACAAGGATTGGTTGAAGTCTAGCTTAGCTGTCACTGCCATATCTTAACAGACAATACTTGCTCTTGATCAATTGTTCTTCTTAAAACACCCAATTTATCATTGTGCTTTCTATTTTTGTTTTCTAGTATCCAAAAAAAAACTAGACAACTGTGGTTGATACACTTTAGGCTGGAATTGTGTCATGCACCAATTCACCATGCAATGTAATGGGTCTGGGATTACCATTTTATGATTAACCTTTCAATTTATATTAAAAGTGTTACAAAATGTGATTTCCTTTGCATTTTCTTAGTCTAGCAATAGTTGTTAATCTCACATATCGTATTCTGCCTCTCCCATTGGTACTTGGGCACTTATACAGTCTCTATGCCTTAACTATGCTAATTAGGCATTTATTTACATATCTCGCTACAAGAAAAGTCCTTGCAAGTGTCTGAAATATAATCATAACAAAAGGTAGAAATCTAACAAATGAAGAGAACACAACAGTCAGCATTATTTTGTCTTAACATTTCACATTGTAATAATTTTAAACATCATTATTATAGACTTTAATGTTTTGACAAGCTATATATATATATATATATATATAGCATGGAATGATATCAAGCATTCCTCCCTGGCCTTTTGAACAGGAGTAGAGGTTCTTTGCCTGTTTCCAGTTTAGAATTGGTCTTCCAGTTCCTTCTAATGTCTAGTTTGGCTCTATATTCCTAACACTTCTTTTCTATGCTAATATAAATTCACACAGTAACCCTCTATCTTAAGTGGTTCTTAGGCCTTGTATTGGGTGAACATTAGTATAAAAAAAAAAAAAAAAAATTAATTAGCACATAGAAATATAGGTAAAAAAACATATTAGAATATATCTATAGATACCTACATAAGCAACATTTAAAATAAATTATCACCTTTGATTGTAAGGGAAAAACCAATGATTATACCTTTTAGCCCGTGTAGCACCAACATCTACAAGAAGGCCTAAATTAGCAGCTGGATTCTTTAGGGCTTTTTGCAATTCTTTCAAGTGAGAACCAGCATACTAAAAAAAAAAAAAAAAAAAATAAAAAAATATCAATATAGCATATTTAAAAAAAGAACAAAAATATACAATTGTATTGATGTTGTTCAGAATTTAGCATATTTAGAGATTTTTTTTTTTGTTTTTACGTTATCTTGGCCATGTACCTTCCAAGCTGTCCTCAGATATCTATTGTATCTTGGAATGTTAGTGAATCTTGTTTCAAAGAGTAGTTGCATATCATCTCACATATGTGTAGGGTTGCCAAATTAGAAATAGAGGACACTCTTAAAATCTATATCTATATATATATACTAGGTTGGTGCAAAAATAATGTCGTTTTCTCACATATGTTACATTTATATATGATTTCTGAATTAATTCATTGATATATATATATATAGCCATGTTATATATCATTTTGAAGCGCGTTATTCGCTCTATCGAATCGTGTTATTCGTTACCGTTCTCAATCTCTTCATTCATTTTTTTGCAGGCTTTTCGACAGCATGGACAAAATTCAAATCCGCACGATTTTCTTGTTCCAGTTCAAACTAGGCCGAAAAGCTGCCAAGACAGCTCGTGATATCAATGATGCGTTTGGCCCAGGAACCACTAATGAACGTGTGGCACAACGGTGGTTCAAGAAATTTCGCAATGGTGACGAGAGCCTCGAAGATGAAGACGGTCGCAGCCGGCCGACTGCAGTTGATAACGAACATTTGAAAGCCTTAATTGAAGCCGATCCTCGCAAAACCACACAAGAAGTTACTGTTGAACTCGAGGTTGACCACTCAATAGTCGTTCGCCATTTAAAGCAAATGGGGAAGTCAAAAAAAGGTTGGATAAACGGGTGCCGCATGAATTGAACGATAATCAAAAAAAAATCGCCGTTTGAGGTGTCTTCACGCCCTTCTACGCAACAAAAAATGACCCATTTCTCGGCGGATTGTGACGTGTGATGAGAAGTGGATCCTCTCGACAACCGGCGACGTTCGCACAGTGGTTGGAGTCCGGAGAAGCTCCACAACACTTCCCGGCCGAAATTGCACCAAAAAAGGTTATGGTGACTGTTTGGTGGTCTGCAGCCGGTCTCATCCATCACAGCTTCTTGAATCGGGCGAAACCATTACGGCGGAGAAGTACTGCCGACAAATTGACAAAATGCACCAGAAGCTCTAATGTATGTGCCCGAGATTGGTCAATATGAAGGGACCAATTCTCCTCCATGACAACGCTCGCCCGCATGTTGCACAACTGACCCTGCAGAAGCTGAACGAATTGGGCTACGAGACTCTGCCTCATCCGCCATATTCATCGGACCTCTTGCCTACCGATTATCACTTTTTCAAGCATCTTGACAACTTCCTGTGCAAAAAATGCTTCAAAAGCCGAGATGATGCCGAATCAGCCTTCAATGACTTCATCGCTTCCAGAACTCCAGATTTCTATGCTAATGGGATAAATAAACTTGTTTCTCATTGGCAAAAATGTGTTGATTCTAATGGTTCTTATTTCAATTAATAAAGTTTATTATGAAAGGAGTTATGATCTTTTGAAGTTAAATGTCAAAAAACAACATTATTTTTGCACCAACCTAATATATGTGTGTGTGTGTAATCATTTATTCTAAAATTATAACATAAAAATGTTATAAAATCACTACAAAAATAGCTATTTTGTTTCAACATTTCTGTTGTTTTATCAAGTGATGGTGTTGAATGTAGAATAAAGGGTTTTAAAAGGTTCAAATCAATCAAACACCCCTCGCTAGAGGAAACGCTGTTACATGAACTGGAATGACCAATCAAACTACAAGTATATGAGAATTCAAAAAACTTGACAACAAATTTAAATTATAATAATAATTTAATGCTTTAATGTTAGGGTTAGACTAAAATAGAATTCAATCTAACTAAACATATTAAATTATACTGTAAAATTAAAAATTACCAATTTTAAATTTAATCTATATGAAGTTCAAAATTATAAAATTAAACTGAGGAAAAAATATGTTTTTATTTATTTTGTTTTTATTGAAATTAAGTTGGAATAAACATTAAGATCTAATGCTGCTCTGAACTCTGTTACAACTTAGATACATTTGAATATATATATATATATATATATATATATATATATATATATATATATATATATATATATATATATATATATAAAATATATATATAATGTAAATAAATTTATATATGCCTACACAGCCAGACCACTATATTATATAAAAGTAGATAAAATATGTTAAAAACATAAAGCAATGATGGGTTATGAGGAGAATAAAATTAAAATCATTTGAAAATTATTTAATACGAGTTAAGAAAAAGAAATTCTGTAAAAGTGAACTCATTTGAAAATATTCCATCCAGACAATAGAGAAATAAATACGTCAGTTTTATGTAAACTTTTAACAACATTAGTTACCTCATTACATTTGGGTTTATTTTCATCAAGAGAATCTGAGAAAAGAAAGTATAATTACTTATAGAGTTATAACCAAGAACTGTAAGAAGGTAGCAAAAATATATTTTCATTATGAAATTTGAAAATGAACTAAATATGGGACATTTGGGGGTGTCCTTAAAAGGTCAGTACAGAACAGGGGGGACAAAATTATCCAATACGGGGCATATCCCGTATATAAGGGATGTCTGGCAACCCTACATATGTGTCGTCATATAATTTGACAAGTAAAAGAAACAATATCTGGCTATGCTGCCCAAAAATTGGTTTAAGGGTCATCATGACTTGTCTCTTGAAATAAAGCCCAGATGTGGATAACCATCAGTTGGCATTATGATACTTCAAAATACAAAAGGTAGAAGACAACTTCAACACAATCAGTTGAATACTTTCAGAAGAATGAGAATTATAAAAAAATACAAGGAATGTTGAGAAAGTAACATGATCATATTTAATAATGTTACAGTTTTATTATGAAAGAATTTCTGGTTTGATTTACAGCATATCAACCTCAATGGGTGATTTAATGCTGACAAGATTTTTTACAATAGATTTGCATGAATAGAATATGTACTCCTTGCAAGATATCCACTTGTAAATCAGATTTCATTAACATAACCTTGCAAAGAGGTCCCCTGTTGAGAGTTTGGTTTCACTGATGTAGTCCTCTCAGATATACAGTTTGTAGAGAAATTGATCCCATTGACACTTCTATTTACTCCATAATTCTTTATCGCTGAATGGTGAAAAGCCCATCCTGTGGGTCATCATCCTAGCACTGCTGCCACTCTTCCCAAACACTGTTGCTAATGATCCCACTAAAGTCAATGTATGGGACCCTGGTTGTTGAATCCATATCCATATCTAAAGCCAACCTGGCTGCCAGGTTTACTTCACTGCTACCCTTTACTTTAACGTGGCCAGGTATCCAACATAGCTTGATGTGCCTATGCCCGCAAGCAGTGCCCATCTTACACAACAGCCCAATAATGAGTGGAAGCCCTTTCGCCTGCTCTGTGCAATACTACTGACAGCCAGCTCCACTGCACATGCCTCCGCAGTGAAAAAAGAACTTCCCCTCGGGAGGCACTACCTCTCTGTAATACGTGACTCACTGCTACACATCCCGTCCTGCCCTGACACCTCTACCCGTCTTTTCAGATGAGTGCATAGCTAGGGTGATCCTCCAGTATGCCCTGAAACCCATCCTGGAATGTGAGTGTGTGTGTATCCTTTGTTCAGGGAGCCTATCCAAATCTAACAAGACTTTGGGCTGCTTGATTGTCCATTGTGGAAAACTGGCTGCAGTCACTCCCTGCATACCTGAGAGTGAGGTGTGCAACTCTTCAGCAATGGACCCCATCCTGAGACCATAGGGTTGCACTGTATTTTAGTTCTGTTGGAACACATCACAGCAATTGTCCAAAGGCACTGCTGCAAACTGGGCCAGGTGGGCATGATTCTACCTTGACATAGCACTGCAGTGCCAGCACAGTGTGCCCCAAATGTAGAGGTGTCTCACAAACTTCTGTATACAAACTCTCCACTGGGGACATCCCAAAAGCCCCAAGCACCAGTCCAAGGCCTTGATGATAGATTGCGCCGAGTACTTTCAGGTATGACCCCTCTCCCTGCTTCTGGCTGCTCCACACATGAAACTAATGCAATTAGCCATGAGCAAAGTAGTGATCTGTATAATTCAACCAATATTTGTTGATCCGCCCCTACCATCCAGCATGGGCCACCACACACACAAGTTGGAGGACTTTAACACATTTTACTCTTAAACATTCTAAGCTAATCTCCTACCAAACATGATGCCCAGAAACCTGTGTTGCCCCACAACTGGGATCTCTGCTCCATCCAACTTCAAACAGGGGTTGATATTCAACTTCCCCAATTTGCAGAAATGCAGGCACCTGGCTTTCACTCTGGAAAAGACAAAACCCATTTCCATGGACCACCTGTGCACTTGATGGATGCACTTCTGGAACTGCCTCTCTCCATGGCATGCACATGTCAAGAGCTGTACATCACTAGAAAGTCATTGACATACAGGGAGCATCTCACTCCTGGGAGCAGAGATTCAACTATGGAGTCAACTCTGACACAGAAAAGGGTCACCAAAAGAACCCTTACAATTGGAACTCCTTCCTCTTGTCATTTGATTCCAAGTGTATGAGCTTTTCAATAAGGGCTCTGTATTGCATGATTGAGAGTAGGCTAGATGGTTTTCATGGCAGTTAGCACATCTTAGTGGCATTCTTCTTCCATGTGGTCAGGATCCATTTAGCCACATTTTCCACATGTTGGGCTACTCTTGCAGCTATCTCTATGGTGCCCAAATTTTTAGCACTTGAAGCATATTAATGAAGCAAGGATATATTGTTCCACTGGCTCAAAGTTGCAGATGATTTTTATTTTTCTAGGGATTTGAGGTGTGACAAAAGTAAGGATATACGTGGCGGTTCTTATGGTTTATCTTTTCCTTTTTATTGTGATTCTATGGTAATTACTGACCCCCACCCCCCAGCTTCCTAAGGCAGATGTGATTTTCTCAGATGTAACCAAACACAACTCTCTGCTTCTAATAACTCCCTTTGAAGTGTTCAGTCTTCCATGGGGGAAAATTTTTATTTTGATGTTATGGAAAGTCTTCATCATTATTAAACTTTCTGTGTGTTTCCTATTTTCCACTTCTACTCGCAAATTGCCATTTCTCAATTTCTTAACCGTTTTGGGGTTAATCCTACTGGATGGAAACCTTTTCAATCAAGAAAGGGGAAAGTTTTCTACAGGAGTTTTCATCTAGGGACACAAGCATAAGAAATTTTGGAAATTTAGTACTTTAATTCTTTTTCAGAAGCATGGTCTGAAAGATATTATCATTTGGGTTTTTATTTTGATTATTCATAATTTGATGTAGAAAAAATTCACTGCTTGTGCTCCCTACCCATCATGGAGCCCAGCATTGAGACAAGTTGAAGGGGAAACCTAGTTTCCTTGTCAGGTCAGGGCTTCAAAAACCAATATACTCATATTTGAGTGAGACTCTACGCACATTTTAAACCATTTGTTGCACTTCCCAAATAAGTGTACAAACTGATGTGTTTACAGCCATGTCTAAGTCTAGATCTCTTTGAACCGACTGGCTACTGAAGCCCTCAAACACCAGAATCTCACCCCCGGACATTACGGGTCACCACCCATGGCAAACAGATAGCCTCATTGGAGGATGGGGGGGGGGGAGTCAACCCTCTGCAGAGGTGCAGTTGGTGTATTCTGAAGCCACAGCTGACAAGGCATTAAAAGAATTAAAACATTGTGAATATGTTACTAGCATTAGTAAGCTACTATGTTGATAGCAGTCATCATTGAGATTGTTGCACCTGACACCTGAGCCAATCAAACAGGTGATAATCTGAAAAGGTTAAGTTAGAACTGGGCACTAGATGCATTAAAACATTCCAATCCTACAGACCAAAATGGTTCTCAACCTTTTTGGTCTAATGCACCCACTTCAGCACATTTCAGAATGTCTTTCCCCACCACCCCGACCTTTCCAAGATTGCCTGACTCAAAATTTGCATTCCAAATAATATGCCTATATTATTGAAAATCTTCATTCTTTTCCATATTAATACAGATATATTTACATGGATTATTTTTATAGAGGAGTTTTACAAATTTAATAGCAACAGAAAATGTTGATGGATTTTTAAACTTGAATACATGTACAGTAATTTGTTTTAATTCATAACTAATTATTAAATAAATAAACTGAAGCAGACTTCAATAAGGAAAAAGTCCAATAGAATGGCCAGGGTTGATTGGAATTCAATAAGCAACATTCTGTAAATAAAAAAGCAAGTAAAAGTAAAATATTTTCCTTCTCTTCCCTGAAATTCTCCCCTGGAGGAGAATGAATTCCTCTTGAGTGAGAACCTCTGATAGAAGCCATAGTTTCAATGGTAACATCTGAACAATATTACTATACAAATAAAATATTGCCCATATGTTATCAGCACTACTATAGTTTCATCTAATATAGGTGGGTTGTTTAATGCATCCACTGACCACAGTCTTAACTCATCTGTATGATTGTCATAAATGACATCTATCTAGTTAGTGCTTTCATACAGATGACATTGTTGTTGCAGAAGTGCAGCATTGGCCCCCATGATAAGATTTTGAAAAGCCACAAAAAAAAGTATACAGTTACTGTTTGTTATGAAAAATAAACTTGAAATTACTAATGGCAGAAATATTCAAATTTGTCATGGTTCATGACACAGAAGATAATGTGACTCTTAATACAAAAAAAAAAATGAATAAAACAAGTTTGTCTTAGTGTTCCACTATATGCAAAATGATGGGATGGATTCCTGCTCATTTCTCCTATCGAAGAATTGATATAAATAAAAAAAGGAACATCCACAATGTCTATTTACCTGGATTCCTGTTAAGGCTACAAATAAACGCAAAATATCATTGGTCCCTTCAAAGATCCTGAAGATCCGCAAATCTCTCACGACTCTTTCCAATCCAAAGTCCTGAAAAGAACAACAAAAAAAAAGATGATTTCATCTCAGACTATGACTTATACAGGTTTTCTAGAAATTTGTAAACAGATAAAAGCATAATAATTTTATTGTACTTTAATAAATATGGAGTGTTAAGTAAACGTTTGAGAACTTTGAACAGAATCTCATGTCTTGCAAAATATTTCACCCATCTTTAAAAAAACAATCACTGCATTAAGAAATAAAGAAACTCGTTTTCTATCATTTTTTTTCTTCAATATCTGTCTATATTTCTGAGATGAGGTATTATGTACACTATTTACATTGTTTGAACTATTGTTCTCATCTTTATTTTCATATTCACAACATTTAGGGCGTTGTATGCTCCGGCCTTCTTCAGCTGATATAAATTGGAATTTCAAACCAAAACTTTTATTTCATCCATCAGGTTAGATTCTTCTAGTTCCACGTACCATGCCTTTCTAGATATCTGTTTCAGTTATCTCCCTTTAGTAACTCAACACTCCAAGTTTTTTTTTTTTTTTTTACCTCTGCTGTTGGTATTAAACTCACAACTCTTTGGGTCAAGTCACTGGATTACTCCAGCTGACATTTTTATCCACTGGGCCATATGCCTTGGGAACAGTTGATAAAAGTCGACAAAATAAACAGTTCAATTCAAAATTCCAACATATATCACCTGAAGAAGGCCGGACTGTACTACGGCCAAAACATTGTGAATATAACATTAAAGATGAGGGAAAAACTCTGAACAGTATAAATGGTGTAAATATTTTTTTCTTTCTTTGAGGAATCAAGATTTTTGCCTTAAGTTATAAAAGATCATATAAAGTGTCATTTTGTTTTACTCTTCATGAAATAATTTCAATTTATCTGTTATTGATGTGGGTTACTATGATCATTTTTGTAATACAAAGACTTCACTTTTAATGAATTGGACACTCTAACAAGATTTGTCATCCTTGTTGAGTATTCATTTTATAGAAGACACAGATAAAAAAAAATAGCTAAGAAAATATTTGATGTTTAAAGCAAACAAAACAAAAATGATCCAATTTTGAATTTTAGTTTACTACATACTTCAGTTTTAAAATAATGATGACATTAAATTATTCAATAATACAAAACTTTCATAACATTAACCCTTTCCAGATGGCCCAACTAAGATCTTACAGTCAAAAACATGCATTTGCTTACAATTAACTTTAATAATACCAATTGGCTTGATAAACTTAAAATAACAAAAAACATTGTGGTTTTCACATGATAGAAACTTGCTTCAAAATTAGTGATTTATTCTGAGAATTTTCATGAATAGATAATCAAATTTCAATACCATTAAAATCAGGTATAGGCCTATGAATACTGAGGAGGCTTTGCAGATCATTCTTGATTCTGATGATATGATAGTAGACCAAATATAGATATTCTTGATGGCAAAACTGTAGACCAATTGATAATTATGAGAATGAAAAAAAAAAAAATGAAGATATCTTTATCCTAGAGAAGGAGAGCTTAATCTTATCAGAATAAATATTTATGCTATTGAGGGATTAATTTGTGTAGATAATCCACAAATTGAAATTATGTTAAAACTAGTAAAATCTAAATCTAAATTAACTCTGGCTAAAATCTAAATCTAAATTAACTCTGGTTAAATGACTTTCACATGATTTTTTTTTTAAATAAGCAACTTGTTTATAAGCAACTGTATTCAAATGTAACTAAATCTCAAGCAACTATACAAGTTAGTGTGGCTTAAACAACTAAAAAAAGAAGTAAAATAAATAAAGGAAAGGAAAGGAAAAAAATGTAAAATTAAACAAATATTTACTAGATACAGTATTTTATACTCTATTCAAAAATTCTGTGGAGAACCGCTAGAGAATCTTAGTTATATTTATTGGAAAATTTGGAACAGAATCAAAGATATAAACAAATAATATATGTTTATTTAATTGGATGATTGGAGTGAGTCTTTTGTAAACTGGGTTGGCAAAAGTTTGTTCAGCTGGGTAGTTGTTAGCTTACAAGTTAGACTTTGATTGTAGTTGGGAGTGTGGTTACTTTGGAAACATGTGAGGCCTCAGTCTGCTGTGTTTTCTCTGCCCTTAAATAGGGTGGAAAAAATGTCTTAAGTAGATGAATGCTTAGTTCTTCATGCAACACGTTTGGGACAGTTTCTGGCTGTTTCCTCTACTGATGTCTGTCGGCTATCTCTTTATATACAATTTTGAAAGGCTCAAGACTATTTGGTACAAAGCTTGATTCTGGCTAACATCAAAAGTCTCTTTGTTCTTTTAATTAGTCAAAATTCTTTTATTGTTCATTTCTTTTTCTTTTATAGTGGAAGTTATGTTGTGGTGCCTTTCTTAATTTGGTAGATTTCTAGACACAATAACTTGACACCAGACTAGAAAACTTCCATTTTGAAGCAATTGTTCAGTCTTTTCTTCTTCCACTTTTTATATGAGAATTTGTTTGTTTGTTCTGTTTTTTAATGGTATATCAACTCTTTATGGGTCTTTTAATGTTGAAATTTAACATTTTCCTGGGAGCTTTGAAGTAATAAAAATATGATATATGTTATTCTACTTTCACAACTGAGTACATGGTAGATGATACTCAGCTTTTTGTGCATATATATGTTTCTGTGTACATAATTAATAGAGGTGGGACATGTGTGCTTTATGTTGTAGTTTTGTTGAAGTTATATTTTGGAATACAATTTGATTTCTTTAAGAAATTTTAGGATATTATATGGATTAATGTCATGAAAGTTCTTTCAAGTTGGTTGTTGGGTTGATTTTGTTTAGTGGCATATCAATTTCTATAGGTTATTTAATGCCTTCAATTACAAATAAAATGTATTGCTGGTAATTTTACTATAAAAATGTATGTTTATACTTTCATAGTGTTTTGTTTGAGGTTCACTGTTTGCCCAAACCTGAGACCCTAACAGGTACTACCACCCCAGGTTAAGGTGGACTTGGGAACAACAGCAATTAAAAGGCGGTTCCACACTCTTCAAAACCTCCAATCTCCTAATCAAAGTCCTTGTTGCCGGATGTAGTTCATTATGAATACCCATCACTTTAATTGAGAGGGAAGTAGAAAGAGAAGAGGGGAGAGAGAAAGAGAAGAGGGGAGAGAGAAAGAGAAGAGGGGAGAGAGAAAGAGAAGAGGGGAGAGAGAAAGAGATATAGGTTTTTAAGGAAAACAAATGTCTTATTTTAATTTTTTTTTCATATTTTTACCTTTGGGAACACCACAATTCTACAAATCTATTAGTATAATTACATTGAAATGTTTTTTTTTCTATTTACTATAGTCAAGCATAAAAAAAATCTAGGCAACTTGATTACTAATTCTTTCACAAAAATTTAGTAACCCAAACACTGATCAAAATCCTACTTTAGTAATTAAAAAAAATCCTGCATTACTTTTTTTATTTGTACATGTTAGATCTTGTTATTCAAATAACCACTGTCAATTCATGGTTTGAATTATTTATCCTGAGTTCAAATTAGTGTTGGTCTTTTTATAACACAAATTATGGATTTTTTATTCCTTAACCTGGAAGATTTTATCACTTAAATATTATTTTTAGTGTAGAGCTATATTTGAGTGAGACACTCCATTTATTTATTAAACAGTATATTTATTTATTTTTGTGTACCGGCCTGAAGACTTCTTAGATATTCAAGCCAGCAGACAAAAACAAATATACTGTTTATTAAATAAACAAAATGTCTACTCAAATATGGGTATCCAATAAAAATAACAAGTGATAAAACAATAGATTATGTTAGAACCTACAATAACTTATCAATCATGTTTCTCCATTCATTACAAGTGTTAGATGCTCTCAGATTAGCAACTGTTCCAATATGGCTGGCTCCTTTATTGCAACCAGCAGGTGGTTTTCAGTGAAACCACATTAAATAATTTGCATATTAACAAGTATCAACATTTACAGAAATTTAACTCTCCAGTGTGTGTTGCAGTTAACAATTCTTGCTTTATCAAGAGTCTCTAAAGCATCCAGTCAGAGTTTGGATATCTCAAATTATTATAATGTTTATATAGCCAATATAAAACATTTAATAGATAAAGAAAAAGAAACTTACCTTCATGTAACCCAATCCACCCAAGATTTGAACAGCTTCATCAGCACAGTACCAAGCTGCTTCCTAGCAGTAAAAAACAAACAAGATAATTAGAATGGTGATGAAATGTTATAACTTGGTCCTTTAAGTTTAGGATCTGTTTTGATTGATTGATTTGTTTTTTTATGTCTTATCAACTCTTTGTAGGTTATTTAAAGCCAGAAAATATTTTTAGATTCTAAGAATTTTTTTTGAGATAAGAATTTAGTGATACATGTTTTACTAATTAACCCATAGCTAGGGGGGAAGGAGTGGATTCATACCTTTCCTAAGGTTATTTGCATGTAAGTGAATATAACAAACCCAACTGGAATTGTTGGAACTCAGTTCTATGATTAACAATTCTGATCCATTATACCACCCAAATACAGTATGTGATATTCTCAAGCGGACATCTGTTTAGGTACTGACCAGGTTCTATGTTGCTTAACCTCTGTGATTGTATGGGAACTGGTGTTTCAACGTGATATGACCATAAGCCCAGGATCAGTTTTCTATATGACATTTGCAAATATGTGTGTGTGTGTGTGTGTGTGCGCACACATACCAAATTATTATCTAAAAAGGGTTATCACACACCCAACTCCAGGTAGGTCTTGTGACCTGTCAATCCAGAAGCATCTCAACATATTGATGTCTTCTGTTAGTGTAAGTAGTGAAATTGAATCGGTCATCAACTTGTCAGGCCTATTGTGTAGCTTATAACACTTGGCATTCCCCAGTGATCCCCTATCTGAAGACACTGACCAGGCTTAACATTGACTTCAGTGATCAAATGAGGGATGATGGAGTAATAGATAGCAGCTTAGACTGAGGAATTGGAGAGCCAAGTTTGAATTCCAATTGAATCCATTACATTCACTTATATGCTAATAACCTTGGGAAAGGTATGAATCCTCTTCTTCTCCCCGACCAGTTATGGGTAAATAGCAGGACAGACCGGCCTAAAAAGAGGTTTATATTATTGTAAATTTAGCTTTGCAAAAAACCAAATACACAAAAAAATCATCAATTATCTATATTCTCCCCACCAGCTATGGGCTAATTAGTAGGAATTATATCAGTAAATCATTATTATTCCCCACCCAAATTCTTACAATCCCAAAATATTTTCTGGCTTTAAATAACCTGCAAAAAAACAAAAAACAAAAACAAATCACTCAATGAATCAATCTACCATTTTCAGTTTGATTGAAAGAAAAAAAGAATTAATTGTGGAATCAAAAAAAAAAAAAATGTTTACTTACTGATGCATAAATCTTGCTAATGGCTGCTTCTATTTGAAATTCTGTTGATCCTTGATCCATATTTGCTGAGACCATGTATGCCATAGACTGAAATGACAAATAAGATTTCATATTTTCATTTCTGACTAGTTTTTCTTTTCATTTTATTTTTGTTGCTTTTTTTTCATGAAAACAGATCATTTTGTTATTCTGTGAACATTTAACTAAAAGGATGGGTTGAAAATAAAGAATTAACTTCAAACAAGATTTGAACTCATATCCCTTATCCTTGGGAGCCTGTCTTACTGGGACAATGTCTTACCAATTAAGCTACAAAAACTAACCAGTAAACATTATTAAAATTTATTCACTACATTCTTCATTATCTTATTTTAACTCCATGTCATATTGCTTGTTACACCTAATATTATGTTTGCCAAATTTTATAGATGAAGCATTGTTATTATTGATTTTTGCCTACATTTTCTTTTCATCAAAACTTAATGACAATTCGTCTATTGAGAGATTTGAACAAAGAGTCATTTCAAATATTGTTTGCATAATTGAATCCATTCTTTGTAAACATATTTTGGTTAATCCATTTTCCCTTCCTTTTCAGGCATATATTCCTTGAAAAAAAAAACGCAAACTTTTTTTTCCTCAAGAAAAAAAGTATGTTATAAATAAAATGTGATCAATTATTATACAAGCTGGAGGGGAGGGAATGAACTTACTTCAGTAGCTCTGGGCACTAAAAACCTTTAAGTTTAAAGGTTTTCTTCTTTTCACACAAAATATGACATGCAATTAAGGCTGAAGAATTGATCAACTGAAATGTGTTTAATAACATCAGTCATACAGATATTGTTTGTTGTACATTTTAATGGAAATAAAAAACTGAAACTCTCATGCATAACATTACATTTGATTCAACTCTGGATTTTACAGAGAGTTGGTTGGTAGGACTTAATGTAGATTGACTCAAAAACCTTCAGATGATAATTGGTATTAGCCTTACTCAACACTGAGAACATGTCTGGAATATAAGACCAAGCATACTGTTTGTCTTTAATCAAATGTTCAGCTATCACTGAACCTAATATATTAATACAGCTATATAAATTGTACACCTTTCCCTTGCAAATATTGGCTGGAATGTGTTAGTTAATCCGCGTCTCCAACTTTTGATCTGTTCTCCCTATACAGTATCACACTGACATCTGAATTTGTAAATTACAGAATATGATGGGTAGGCAGAACATCTTTTCAGATTGATTTCAAGATAGGTTGGGCACAAAAACAATATGTAAATTGGTGGAAAAATAACTTCTTACACAAACTGAAATTTGCTTAGCAAATCTCACACTTACCTCAAGGCTAATACTGATTATCACCAGAAGGGTTTTGGAATCAATATACATTAAGGCCTACCAACCATCTCTCTAAACAGAAAAGAGTGGTTGGTGGGCTTAAAGGTTAATTACCTTTAAGCCCACCAACCACTCTTTTAATTTAATATTATATTTTTTGTTTGCATATAACATTAGTCTGGAGTTGTACATTTATTTTTGTCCTTGATTTTTGTTCAGATGAGAGAGAACCAATAAATGGTTTATGTGCATTTAATCATCATATTTTGGTATTACCATGGTATTTATGGTAATATATTTTCTCTGTTACTCATTTTTTATTATGTATTATGGTAATTTACTCACGCACACATGGACTCTTCCAGCTATAAATAGGAGCAGGTACTGCCTTTTGAAGAGGGAAGTTTCCAGCAGTCAGCTCTGACAGTCAGACCAAACATTCTTGCTGTAACACTCTTGTTTGTATGTTTGTATTATTGTTTCTGTTAATATATTTGTTTAACTCAATTCCTCTTGTGTCTTTAATTCTGCTCCTAACAAGGCCACAGCATTATGAATGTTCTTTTAATATTTTTTTTTATTGCTGTAATAAAATTTTGTACCCCTGTGAAAATATTTCAATATATGTGGACCAAGTACACTATTGCTAGAATAGACTTCGCACTCATATTCTGCAGAGAAGCCAGGTGCTGTGTTGACAGTGCAGGGGGATGACCTACTGGCCTCTGGGTGCAAATCCATGTAATTGGCTTATATATTCATATTAATTTGTCATATGGACCAATCATGTGGATCTGCATCAAAAGGCCAATAGGTCATCTCCCTGCCCTGTCAACTCGGCACTTGGCTTCTCTACATAATATTAGTGTAAAATCTGTTGTAGCATGATCTGGGATGGGACACACATGACACAAAGAAGAGGCCCAATTTTTCAAACAATATTTGGAATGTTAATGATTTAATGTTATAGAAAAAGTGTTATTTATATGTCAATTATTGTCTTCATCTTTGTTGATGTTACCACAATGGCTGAAACATTATGATAACAACAACAAAGATGAGAATGATAATCAGCATGTAAATAAAGATGACTCTTGATCCCAGAAATTCAGACAGAAAAGATAAAGTGTTATTTGATTTAAATATTTATCCATTCACAATATGAGATTCAGTGTTTTACATTAAAGAGATGGCTTAAGAGAAAAATGAATTATTAAAACATAAAATCTGATCTAAATGTTTAGCAAAAACCAACTGCTGTAATAAAATTGCTATTATAAAAAAAATAGACTCTATTTTGTTTAAAAAGAAAAGAAAAAGAAAATGTGATCCAAAATACAGCAATAAATGAGAATTAAAATTACATTAAAATTACAATAGAAAATTATGGAAATATATATTTCCAGCAGAATATTGAAGATGATGTGAATGGCAAAGTTTAAAAGGGATTTAATTTTTGGTGGTAGAGTATTAAACTGACAGGTGTAAAATGTGACATGAATTAAAGCTCATTTGTGAGAGTCAAATCTTGAAAAGGCAATAAAAAAAAAAAAAAACTTTTAGCAAAAGTATCATTTAAAAAACAAAAGCTAACCTCTGTCACATACTGGACCATAGACATTCTTGCGATCTTTTCCTGGATGGATCCAAAACTCTCAAGGCGTCGACCAAATTGAGTTCTTTGTCCAGCATGAGCAGCCTGAATTGAAAGGGGGGAAAAAAACAACACAAGTTTATATTTGTACGCATGTTATGTGTGTGTATGTGTACACACATATACAGTAGTAGACTGGGTCTTTACAATGCTATCATTTAATTTTCATACCAAATAAATAAAATTTTCAAAAGATACATATGGAAAAAGGTACAATTAAAATTTTTGTGGAAACAAATGTGTATTTCTTAGCAATTACAGTGTCCATATACTGTATATATTACTGGCAGTATATAGGAAATCTAAATACAGAATGTTATAATTTAATTTTTTATTTACTTTTAAATAATTGGTTGATATTTTTAAATATTTTACTGCATAATTTACACATTGACTGAAAGTTTAAAAGCACAACAGAGCACTGAATGCAGTTCACTATAATAAGAGCAATCATTTGTGTTCACAAGATGATTGTAGTAATAATTGCTTTCTTCATCCAATTCATCTACCAATTCCTTTTCAATGGATAGCAACAGATATGATTCGAAATTCTCCTCAGACAATTAATTTCTTAACCTTGTCTTTATGATCTTTAGTTTTGAAAATCTCTTCTCACATTGGACTTAAGAGTAACTGATAATGTGCAGATGTCTATATAAAGTTCTTATTCCTTTTACATTACTAAAATAACTGTTTGGATGTTTCTTTATTGTGTTTTTACTTGATATGGAGGATGAACTCAATCAGGGGTTCATTTGCCATTAGGCAAGTTGATACCCTGTAAAATCTGTCATTATACATACATATATATATGTACATAATTAATGAAAAAGTTTTTCCACTTATGTTTACTTCAAAGTTTCATGGTTACATAAATGCAACCACTCTTTGGAACAGAGTCAAACTATTTAACAGATTCTATTAATGCTCTATCACTATCTTTGATATTGAGCACTCTACTGCAAAGCCTGCTTGCCTTAAATGTCTTTATCAACAAACCATTGCAAAACCAGAAATTTTGGCTTTTAACAGTCTTCCAAAGTGCACTATATATATATATATATTCATTCATGTTAACATCAACTATGAACATTGCCATAATATGCTAACTATATTTGGAAAATAAAACATTCCTATAACTCTTTTTAATCAGCAGCACACCTAGGAGCAAATGAAAATATCACGGCACATTTAGCAAAATTTTTGAAGGTATACATTTAAATGTTATGAAATAAAAACCATAGATTTTAAAAGAATACACACACAATTATGAATTTACCTTATTTCAATAGTTTTATTCAACTAACTGTGCAGCTTATTTAGTAAAATACTAATGCTGTACCATTACTACTCACACACACATATGTATGCTGTGACAATAATTACATGGCACACTAGTGTGCTGCGACATGGCGGTTGAGAATCAGACATCTGGGATAGCTATTGGTTGACCTTAGATTTGAAGAAACCAAGATTGTAGTTGACAGGGAAGCATTCTCTCAGGAGTCTGTTCCATAAAGTAGCCTTGCAGATTCTTCTTTGGATTTTATCAAGAATCTCCAAATATATAACAGAAGCACCAAACCAGATTTGGCAGCAATATTCAATGCATGGATGAATGGTAGACTTATAAATATATAAGATAGATTCTTCTTTGGATTTTATCAAGAAAATCTAAATATATAGCAGAAGCATATTGACAACAAAATCCATGTATGAATGGTAAACTTCTAAGTGTAAGATAGATTCTGGAAAGAAAAATTGTCTAGCATGACACAGTGAACCAACTTTGCTAGCAGCAGAGTGCCAACAATTGATCAAAATATAATCTTTCCACTTTATGTCAGCAAAAAAACAATAGCCTGAGAAGGTGATTTAAAATTTAAATGCAATGGCAATTGATATCTTTTGTTTTAATTCTTGTCCTTTTATTGTTCTCTTCTATTAATAATGTTTTCTTTTTCTCATATCATTTCAAACTAAGTAACCTCTTGCATCTTAGTGGATTTATTGCCTTGCTTGTGATGAAATGATTAAAAACAAAGTTCTCGGGAAGAAGTTGTCTGAATAGAACTCCATATCAAAGGAACATGAAGAGATTGGGGGTTGGTCACCATGAATGTGGCATGATGGGTCCCAGCTGTGAAGGTCTGGAGTTGGGTGGGGGATAAGGAATGTAACTCTTCTACCATTACTATTAGTGATGGAGTAGTGAGAGGCTAGCAATGTTTTTTCTGGGGGATAAGGGTTGCAAGGTGGAGAATAATTCATCACCCACAAGAATTATTTCTGGCATTGACTGTGTGTAACGAACATCACATATAGGTGCTATACTTTTATTTAAATTTTTTTGCAGCAAGTATAGCCCAATGTATTTTGTAACTCTTAAGACACAAAGGGCAGGAAAATGTGGAAAGTCCTGATTGAAGAAGAAAGTATCCCAATGATCTGAAATTGAATAGCAAAGACAGATTTGTGGGGCAAAAGAAACAATGCATTTGTGGAAACTGATACAAATAGAGTCAATATATCAATATATATTTTTATGTAATATTTTTTTTTTTAGACTGCACAGATATTAAACTAATTTAAAGCAAAGCACAGATACTCTGATCCAAAGTAGAAGTGTTGATTTATATAGAAATAGTCATTTTTTACCAGAACTTTGCTAGTTTTAATATATGGTAATGATAATATTAGCTGTATCACTATAAGAAAACAAATACCAAGCAGCCAGTACTGTTTTTGGCTGAAATTTATAAAATCTTTCTTTAAAACATGTTTTTAGGAGAACAGGTTTCTCAAGTCCAGCAGCTGTTATTGCTCTTTCCATGGGGGTTTCCTTCCTAACCTTTTGTTTGTAGTAGTGTGGAATGTTAACATCTTGATTATGACATTATTTTCTCTTCAAGTTACATGTGATATTCATTTTAGTTGTTACTGCTGTTGAAAGTCTTCAAATGATGTGGTTTCTGTTATTTGGTATAGTTCTTTGTTTGTGATTCTGTATGCCAGTCCACAATGTTCAAAGAAGGATGACCTTTGCTAAGACCCTCAAGATTCACTTGTGTTAAACATTTTTTATCCACTGATCTTAGAAAGCTGTTCTATACAGCTAACAATTTAGACATTTCTGAACTTGTTTGATGCCAAGCATGACTATTTAAGAACATGATTCAAGTCTTCAGGTTGATGTTTTGGTTTTGTAACAATTTGTGGTGTTGAGCAAAACTTTGTCTGGCAAAGCCTATTCTATGTTCAATTTCCTTTTTTCCTCTATTTAGTTTGTTATAACTTATCAAGATGTAGCTACTTAAATATACTTTAATATATTTATTTAATATACTTACTGCTGCTGTAATACAACTTTTCATAGTTCCTGAAAGACAGGCTGCCATTCCAAATCTTCCATTGTTTAAAATGTTCATCGCAACTTTAAAACCATCACCAATTTCTTAAAAAAAAAAAGTTTGGTCAGTATTAATATCTTATCATAAATTTACCATTTAAGAGCCTTATCCTCTCATTAATACTTGGTTTAATTGTGGCCATTTAAGATGTTTTTGTTGTTGTTGTAAAACCCAAGTGACAAAATTTGTTAAGATGAATTTTGGGTTATCAAAAAAAAAGAAAAAAAAAAGAAAAAAAAAAAGTTAAATTTGATGCTTTATCAAACATTTTTCCTCTGCCACCCAAAATATTTAGTTTGTTACTGTAAAATATGAGTAAATGGAAGCATTGTAAAGATGAAGTAGCAGTAAAGTCAGTGGGAAGAGATTAGAAAAGCTTTAAGCTTTGTCCATACATATTAGACTCAAATACTATTTGCAATAAACGTATTATTTATATTAAGCCATAATTATTATTTAATTCATTTTTATCTTGGTTAACTAGGAATTGATGTGTCTATATTTGTTTAACTCTTGTTGACCATGAAAAGGCATTTAATTCAGTAGAACACTCAGCAGCCTTTTAATTCACTATGAGAAAGAGTATTAATGAAAATTTTATAAAAGTTATTGAGAATATATATAAGAGAAGTGAAATAATTTAACAATGCAAAGGCACAGATCTAATAAAGACTAGAAAAAGAGTGAGGCAAAGGAATACAATTTCATTGGCACAGTAGGCATTTAAAGTATTTTCTAGAAAATTAACTAGGAATAAATGAAGGTAAACATAAATGGAAAATATTTGAATCTCCTATGATTAACTGATGGCTTTTTACTGATAACAGAATCATTGGATGAATTACAAGAAATGCTAAATTAACTAAATAGGGAAAGTCTAAATTTAGTTTTTAAAATGACCAGAAATAAAACAATGGTAATGTTCAGAAAAAATAAAAAATAGTGAAGATGGAGACTATTTTTCTGCTTAGGACAAAATTAAGAAAGGAGATAGAAAGTTTTGTTAGTAAGACATGACAGGGAAGAGGTGAGTTAGAGTCATCAGCAAAGGATTTGAGAAAAGCCTTTTTTCCTGTTGATGCTGTTGATGATGATGATTTGTATTTATACCACTGATTAGAATGTTGATGATTTTTGCTTAATAAATAACAAAATGCATACACAATGGAAAAAAAAATATATTTTGATCAAAATTTAAGGGTAAAACACTAAAATTTTTCCTACTGACATTTTTCAACCAGGAATTATCAAATTCTCATTCCTATTTTTCAAGTTAAAACTTTAGAAAACCTTATCACGTTTGAATGGTCAGCATCTCCTTCATAATTGATATTATTGACTTAACACCCAACCAAAAACATCAAAACTCACTGTTTCAATTTAAGAAAAAACTGAAAATAAATATATTGAAAATATAAGATTTTCTTGAATAAACCTGAGAACATGAATTTTTTATATCGTTTTGGTTTCATAAAAAATTTGAAGCAAGATTTTAAAGAAAAGTTTTTAAATATAAAAGTTAAATAACTGAATGCTACAAAAAACTGGCAAAGAAGAGAATTATTTAATTAATGTGTATCTAAAAAAGTGGATTTAATATATTTTCAAGAAAATTTATTTTAAAAAGAAACAATATATAAATAACAAATTCACTGGTTTAAATATAGATTTAATTAAGCTAAATTGATAGGATTAATTAAAATGTTTAGCTTATCTCCACAACAAAGATTAACACTCTGGGCGTTCTGGAATTTTTTTTCCTTGGCTATGAAACAAAAAATTTTGATGACAAAATATCAAAAAATTAAAATATAAGCTATAATACCTCCCAGAATATTTTCTTTAGGGATTTGGACATTGTCGAAATAAACTTCTGCTGTATTGGATGCTTTAATTCCCATTTTTTTCTCTGGAAGGCCACTGGGAGAAGAAAAACAAAAAGATCATGATTTGAAAATTCTTGTTTTGTAGAAAAAAATTCCAAGTCACTGTTGAATAATTTAAGATTCCAAAAATGGTGCCTTTTTTTTCCCCACTTATCAAAATACATCAAAGAAATTTTGCAATTTTTGCAAGGTTATGATTTCACATATAACAATTTGATAATAATGGCTGAGCTATGTAGTGATGGGTTTAAAAAATTTACTTTTCCATTTCTTAGATGAAGACAGTGTCGAGTTGTAAGTAAAAGACTGGTTCTTTCAATTCAATACTATTGTAAGAATACAGAAGACGATTATCTCCCTTTGGTGGAGATATGTCACATGCAGTGATGAAAGTAGTAAATTTCAGTTTGTAAACAGCTGTCAAACGAAAAGGTTGCTTTCTTTAGCTAGTCACCCCCACCCCTGCCAGAAAACCCAAGACTTGCTGTTTCCCCTATATCTAATATGTCATCAACTGGGAATTAGTAAATGAATTCATCTTGTTTGAATCTGGAGTCCTAAACATGGCTTCTCCAGACATAGGAGTATCTCCATATTATATGTAAGATCTATCCTTTTTGTTTCTCCTTACACTCTGCTTTACTGTGTAGATATATGTGATATATTATTCTTCATGATCAACATACATGTTTAGATAGTATTGTATATGTCTTAGTATAAAAAAAAATCTCTCTGAGAACAAAGCATTTTTGTCATTCCTTTTCCTTTCAGCCATTCCATCATGTCTGTGAATTATGTTGTTATAATATCCTGGGTATAATAATGTCCATAGTGTGGAGAAACAAATGGGAGAATAAATCTTTCTACTATGGCTCTCCTGTTATATCAAATAACAATAAACTTTATTTATAAATGGCAACAGCAAATATTCATTCTTTCAGTTTCCTATTTTCCTATTTTTTTTTCTGTTAGTTTATACAGAAAACTTTCAAGTATTTCCTACCAGGTTTTAATTTCCTCACAGTAGATAGGGTATAAGGAAGTTAACAGTAGAGAAAACGGGATTGGTGATTTGAGTTCAAATTCTGGCTGAGTTAGTTTGTATTATTTTACTTTGCTCTCATGCCATTGTGAAAGTCACCTCTCTGAATGAATGAGTTCGGGAGCTGCCCTCTGATTTTGGCAACAACTAACCCATTACAACTTGTCACATGTCTATTAGAGTGAAAATGGATAATGTCAAGCAACCTCACAATTGCTACAAACTATTAAAGATCCAGACTGGCACTAGTCAAGGGATAGGCTAAATTAAAAGTGCATTTCAGACAAGCAAATCAAGATAAATTAAAAGTAAAACTAGAGATATGTATATTATATAATGCACACATCTATATATATATATATATATATATATATATTAATGTATATTTGGGCAGCAACCTTTCTTTTAAACAGTTAAAAAGAATATGACAGGCAAGGGAGATTTGATGAATTTTTTACTTAGTTTTTCCAACATTCTGACATTTTTCTGTTTGGTGAGACTGCAAAAATTGCCTGTAGTGTCCATTGTCCCAAGTGCTTATTCCTACCAAATGCAATAATGTTTGGAAAAAAAAAAAAATCAAATTTCCCTTGTTTGTCATATTCAACAATATATATATATATATGCACACACACTAACAAGAAAAATTGAATAAATTGAATTGCAGTATCTTGTCTGTTGGTTTTACTGAAACGTGGTGTATATATATATATATATATATATATATATATATATATATATAAAATTATACTATTTTGTTATATTCCATGTTAAGGGAATAAACACATAACACCAGGTGGATACAAGAAGAAGGTTTATTGTACATAAAAAGTACAATATGAAATACGGTACAGTTATACACACAGGTCAATCTAGTAGTGAGTGTCACTAACTGGAAGGTCGGACGTGCTTGCGTTGTCTCGCTTACACTTCCTCTCTCTCCCTAAGTCTCTCGTAGACAGTAGATTTTTATAGGTAATTACTATTTATAATGTAATCATTCATGGGGGTGACTGGTTATTCCATTACATCAATTTTTAATCATTTATTTTAAATCTGATTAAATAATATTCCACATTCTGTATTATAAGCATCAAGTTTTTTGTGTTTGTGTTAACCCTTTACCTGTCCAGGGCATTTTATGTGGATTATCCAAACTGTCCTGTGCTGCACTCATAATGCACCTCACAAGCAAAGGGTTAAAGATAAAGAAATTAAATTGTTTTTTTCTGGAATAAAACCAAGTCAAAGTATGGTTCAAAATTTGTGCTTCCTATTGTCAAAATTGATGATCATTTGATCATTTTACATGGACTATATGCAGGTTTAGGAGGCTTCATATTTGAAAATGTCTTCTCACATCAATCAAATGTTGCATCAAATTTTGTATTTGTTGAACAAAAGATTTTGAAGCAGAATATGCTTCGTATGGATGAAATTTGGAAAAAAATCAGTTGACTTTCTCTGTTTGTAGTTTGGGAGGGTAGTATGGAAAATCCTTCAGCCCAATCAAGAAACCATAACTCCCCACCCCTCCCACAAAAAAAAAGTTAGGTCAGATTTTAGAAAGCAGGTTAGGTTGAGAACTTTTCAGCATGCCTTCATATTTGTCTTTCAACACATCAATATAATGCAAATGAGTCACCTCTGATTATTATACATCTAATGGAAGGGGCTCAATAATACATTATGAACCCCAAATGATATTAATTCGTCAAACAATAATTAGATGTAGGTAATCGTTAATATTTCAATGTCTATTCACATTAATATTCATTTTTTTTTTAAAGATATATTAACAAAACGAAGCTACAATCATGTTGCTGTTAAAATAGAGAAAAAGATAAGATTAACTGTTTATCAAGGCTTGACCTAAAAAGTTAATCACAAGCAAATCTTTGAACTGTTTAACTAGAATGCAATAATTTGAAAGACTTTCCTGTTTACATTGTTTACAGGTAGATACAAAAAGTTGTTGACAGACTGATTGGCAGGCAAAGATGGATAAATAGATATGAATTGGGCAAAGGTAGAAATAATGGGTGAAGAAAGAATCATTTTTAAGATCAATTGATTTTTTTTTAACCAAGGAAGATGATAAAGCCACTAAGACACAAGGAATTACTGAGAGTGAAAGAAAAAGTTATTGAGGACATTAAGCATACATGATTCAAAAGGCGGAAGATGATGACTGACATTGCATTTAAATTTTTGAAGATCATGATTCTACAAATTTTTATTATTTATCAACTCTTTGTAGGTTATTTAAAGCTGAAGTATATTTTAGATTATATAAATAATTCTTTTTTGTGAGTGAATATTGTATTAATAATTTTTACCAGACACAAATCTTACTATTAAACCCATAACTGTGAGGGGGATTCATACCTTTGCCAAGGGTATTTGTGTGTAAGTGAATGTAATGAACCCAACTGTAATTAGAACCTGGCTCTCTGATTTCTTATTCTGAGATGTTATCCATTACACCACCTACACATCTACTCATTTGCAAGAGCTCAAATGGACAGACTAGGATGGCTAGTGAAAGACAAAGAAAGAAATGAAGATGGCTGAATAGGGAGAAAGCAAGCAGGTGGAGGAAGCACTTATCTCTCTTTGGTGGAGATAAGTCATGTGGGTCATGTAACGAACGCTTAATGACATCACTTTATACAGTGACTAAAGTGGCAGTCAAATTCAGTCATTTACAGTAGCCAAACCAAAAAGTTGCTTTTTTTAGCCAGAGCTCCCCAGGCAGAGGCTAAATCTGCCTCTCCCAGCAGCTTACAAGTCCATAGTGTTGTTTCCCTTTGGGAATATATCTTTACCAGATATAGAATGAAACTCCAGCTGGCAGTCCTCAATTTGGGAAAAACATAGGAACTGCCATTTCTTGTTTCTGGGACATAAATGAATCCAGTTCATTTGAATTTGGAGTCCTAAACATAGCTTCTCCATACACAGGAGTATCTCCATATTATATGTAAGACTCTTCCTTTGTGTTTCTCCTTACCTCCTTACACTCTACTTCACTGTGTAGATATGTATCTCTGCATGGAACATTATATATATATATATATATATTATTGTCTTAGTAGTATATAGTATGCCTTAGTAGTATAAAAATCTCTCTGAGAACAAAGCATGTTTATCATTCTATTTTCCTTCCAACCATTCCATCTGTAAACTACAATGTTATTATATCATGTATATAATTCCCATAATTGAGGAAATACAAATGGGAAAATAATTTTTTTCCATAGCCCTCTCCCATTACACAGGTATAGAGAAACAGATTGAAATACAAAGATGGAGACATTAATATCTATGCTGCATGTGTAATTAAAAAGTCATAATTGTTTATATATTTGTTTTTTTTTTCATATTGGCAAGGCTTAAAGATGAGACATACCTACTCACTCCTCCAAAGTTTCGTTCCACAATGAAAGCAGTCACCTTGTCTCTCTCAGTTCCCAGCTTGTCATCAAGGACTCGTGTCTGAAAATAAAATACCGTATCAGAAATGAATCCTACTGTAAGTTCTGAGGGACAAGAAGAATCATAAACATGGGCAATTGTAAATAATTCATTCATTATTAACAAGCAGAATCAATAGAATAAACGCACAAAAAACATCTCTTGAAAATAAAAAAATAAAATACTTTTTTTAAAGAGTAAAAAACAATTTCTTTTTTAAATTTTCATAAGTACAAGAGATATTATAAATATTTATATAATAAAAAAGAAATGTAAAATTATATAAAAATAATTGAAAGGTAAATGAAAAAAATAATACAACAGATTAGGTTTGTTTATTACACTTTCTTTCAAGTGGAGTGTTTAAAAAAACATTTATTAATAGAAGTTACTAACACGATTTCTTTAAATAAAAACTCTTAAAATGAAGCCAGCTGTTTAGTAAAAAACGTCTTGAATAAAATTTGATGTGTAAATTTTTTAATATGCGAGGCTCAAATTGATGTTATAAAAGAAATGCTAAAATGAAGCCTGATGGTTTTTAAAAGACGATACATGTATAAAATTTAGTTTTCAAAAATTTGTAAAAAAAAAAAGAAGCTCAAGTTTACAAACAGGTGTAGCTTAAAGAGATAAAGGTTATGATTTTTTAACCAATGGGGAAAGTAAGTTATGCCCAATAGTTTTCAATCTTTGATTCAATTTTGGGGTCTATTTGTGGCTATTTAATAAGTCTGGTTGGTTTAAGGGCCAAAAGGCTTTCATGAGCTGTTTATGGAATGTGAACAAAGAAAAACTAAAAGGAAGCAACAAAAGAAAAAAAAAGGAATGTAGAAAGAAAATTCTATAAATTTGTCATTAAGTTAGAGATATTAACCATGATTTTGAACATTTTATGAAAATATGAGATATATATCCTCTCAGTTTGTAAAACTGAACTATTGCCTAAGCAAATAGAAACTTAGCGACACCTGTGAATTGTCAATTTTCTCAATGCCTTCTGACAGTTGAATGAATCAAAGTTAGTTAACATTGTTGATAATAATTAAATTGTTTTTATGAGCCCAACAGAATTGTATTTAGAGTTTGTTATCTGGCCTAAGTAGAATTTTGTGAAAGTTTGTTTTGTAAAATTTTGTATTCTGTATTACTATTATTTTTTTATGTCTTTTAATGAATGTAAATTCATTACAAGTTTCACACTGGTGTAAGAATCTTGTGTCCTTTTGTTTGCTCCATTCAAAATACTCGTCGTTTGATGTTCTCTCTTCTCATTTTCTCCCCCCAAAAAACCTTTTAATATATCTACTGTTCATTTTTCCCAAATCATATAAACAATTGTACATACAATGAATTCTGACAAACAATTACAGAATTGAATAAAATCCTTTATTTTAATAATACTAATCAAAAAGGGAAAGACTTAAAATACTTGTTTAAAACTCAGTAATAAGATTTATAAATTTGGGTTAGAGAAAAAATAAACTAAACTGGTTTGACTTGACCACAATAGTAAAAATATATCAAATACAAAGTGTCATGAAACGTATTGTAAAAAAGGAATTTCTTTCACAATATTAAAAGATCCATCAAATGATGTCTACAGTTTCTAGCCAAATTTAGTATTTGTTTTAACAAGAAGACAACACAAGTCATTATAAATCCATTCAATAAAAGACATGTTTTTAAATGCAATGCTCTGTGTAACATACTACCTGTCAAAAATAACCAGATTATTTACATATGGATCAGAGCTTTTGCCTAGAAACAGTGCAGTATTTGTATACTCAGCCTAACATCAAAATGTCATTCTTCAGCTTTGGATCAGTGTAGTATCTGTGTGTTATGCTGTACTAAATTTTACCAAGATGTTCAAACAGCAGAAGCTCCAGATCAGATGTTTGAATCAGGACTGGATTCATTTGTTCATTTTATACAGATGTTTGCTTTTAGTTTGACAGAAAAAAGACAAAGAAAGAAAGAAACTGAATAAAATCAGTGTTCATTATATGTTATAAATTTAATCTACACAAAATTTAAGGAAATAAACACAGGTATTATTAATAATGAGAGCTTTATATATATATGTGTGTGTGTGTGTGTGTAAAAATTTCACACAGAGTATATCTACAAAAGGACAATATGAATAAAGACTGATAAAGTCCTTCAGAGGACGAAACGCATCAGGTAAGTTTTCCTTTTGCCTTTATTCATTTATATATATGTGTGTGTGTGTGTGTGTGTGTATACTTAAGCAAGTGTATATAAAAGTTTAAAACATAAACTCGTTTTTCCACTATGTATTCAGTTTTGCCCAGCAGACCTAATAAATGTTTGAACAGCAACCTAATATATTTGCTTATCCAGTCAAAATCCTGTAGCCACATTATCACAAAAAGTAAAGAAAAAAAGAAACCATTTCTGAGTTCAGTATCTGTACAATCCTAAATGCAACAAAGCGAAAATCCTAAAGAAAAACCAACTTACTTGTGCAAAGACTGTGAATATGTCTGCTATTCCTCCATTACTGATCCAAATTTTGCTGCCATTCAAAATGTAATGTGATCCATCCTCAGATAATTCAGCTCGACTCCGGATAGACTGCAAAAGAAGTAGTTTGTCTTAAGTTGGTTGAATTTCTTAGATAAATGCATTTACATTATTGACTAGTGTATTTCTCCTCCTATTTTATTTCAATACTCATGTCATCTAGCATTTCACGGTCGCTAAGTAGTATAGATTGGAAATAAGAAGGTAACCTTGATGAAATTTGAACTTATATCCCATTCCATTGGCAGTCAATCTGACATAGATGCTGTCTTCTTTGTAAGAAATAATAACCAGATAGGCAAAGTTAAACAGGTTCCAAGGACAGAGGATTTAAAATCCAAATGAACGGTATGGCTTCATTTCCAGTCCTTGTTATTTAATGGTTGCAAGATGTAAAATGACCAGCTTATTGCAATAAAAAAGTAACAAGTTGAAAGATAAACTACAGTATCTGATAGAAGACACCTCCTCCCCACTTCTCATTTTAGAAAAGAATATAAAGAAAATAAGCATTTAATGCAAGCATTAGTTTTTGCCACTTTTATATCATTTTGATTGTAGTCGGTTCCCCCTACACACGCTCTCATAGTCATTGTATACTCCTTACCATAGTTTTAGTTTATATCTAAGCATACCACATGAAGTGCTTGACACCAAACTGTATCACCTGGAGTTCTTTGAGGTCCAATCTTATTACTGGAAGCACTCTGTGTCCAACCAAACTGCTGGAAACGCTTTGTATCCAACTGAAAGTACTTTGTGTCCAGCTGTACCACTGGAAACACTTTTTGCTGTTGTGATAAAAACAATGAAGAAGAGGACAAAAATCTGAATGTAAATATTAATAACCATTCTTCCCAGAAATTCAGACAGAAATAATTCTGTCTTTGGTGGGATTCAAAAAGCATTTTTTTTAGTATGAATTGCTGGAACTTGGATAATCTGTTACTGCAAACATTACAGTAAGTAATTGGCATGTTTGAGTGACATTTGAACAGGAAATTCTTCTCTCTGAGTAAGAAAAGTCAGTGGTGATTTTTTGTAGAAGGACAGCACCTTTCTCAAAGTTAGTAAATGCAATGCAGCAAATAATCACTGAGCTGGGGTGGGACATTTTTCTACATGCAATTTATCATCCAGTACTGTCGCTTTCTTTTACTGAGTCAGTGGTTACAAAAGAAGAATTCATCAAATCAAAACTAAAACTATTTTATGATGGACCACTCAATTCACCTAAAATTGAAGTTAGTTGTATATTGGAAAATAAAATTTTATCATGCTCAGTGATTCTTCCAATTAACACTTTTGTTAAAAGAATTGGATTAAATTTGATGTTTATTTTAATTGGAGATATATATATATATGTGTGTGTGTGTGGACACTGAGGTCAAAAGTGAGTGGCAACAATCTGTTTTGTGCTTGGTTGCAATCTTCATGGCTTGAAGAGTGTGTTCAAACATGAAACAGACAATTAGTCATCGGTGTTGACCAGTATCCACTTTTATATTTACATACACTCTCTGATATTGAGCCATTTTACTGATAAATCTAATGTACCTTAAAACTATATTTTATCTCATGCACACACATATATATATAAGTACAGGTAATAAATCTGTTAGTATATAATCTGAATGGATCCTAATAATATAAAATATTAAAACTAATCCACAAAAAGATAAATTACATGACAAAAATGACTTCATGATTATAGTTTATTTCAACTAATGTAGTAATATTTTTGATTTTTCTTTATTTTTTTTTTTAATTATCTAACCTTTCTAATGTAATACATATTACTATACTTATTTCTATATTTTACCTTCTCCATATCAATCCTGTCTTATAATCTTCCACTACTTTATGAACTCCTTTCTCTTTGTTTACTTTTTCTTTATCCTTTTTTTTTTTTAAAAGGTTTTATATATATATATATATATATATATATATATATATATATATTCTGGTATGGTTGGTATTCTTTATAAGAATACTTTCTTTAAAATTTTAAATAGTTAATATATTTTTTTAATCATTTTTTAAATATTTTTTTAAATACCTTTTTTTAAATATTTTAAAATATTTTTTCTTAAAATAAGCTTTCTAAAAATGATTTATTGTTAATCTTATTATATTTTATTTGTAAGCATATTTTGGCAATTGTGAGTGGTAACAATGTTTTTGTTATATAATTAATAATTTAATTTTAGAAATCTTCTTTCTTTTGGCCTTCCTTTGGTTTCACTTCATCTTCCTTATAAACCCAACTTAGGGTGTTAAGGTTAATAATATCTGGGTTGAATTTTGTAGCTTATTTCCATTTAAGCTAGACAACATCCACCCTCCCCTTACGACCACCCACACAGTTTCTCTTGTCTGCTATGGTATAGGTTGATTCTGCATTGATTTCTCAACTACTGTCTTTTTTTAAATATTAAATCTCTAGTTCTGACACTGAATACAGTCCACCATTTGAGTTGAATAAAGCTGATGCATTGATGTTAGTTGAAATAGTCTATACTCATTAGGTAATTTTCTGTTATGTTATGTTATATATATATATATATATATATATATATATATATATATATATATATATATCATTAAAGATGACAGACAAGGTACTATGATTAAGCTTTTTATTTAATTTTTCTTGTATTTGAACAAGTGTTTTCTTTTTCTGGACACAGAGTGTGTAGAAACTGTCAAAATGTTCTGTAATTTGAAGCACTTTTGACTATAATTTTAGCCATTATCAAGGATGATTTTATTTTTGTTTTTTAATTGGGTGTATCGGTTGTGTTTATATTTCTAAAGTTATAGAGTTTTATTTTCCAAACAAAGTTAGCACATTGTGGTCATGTTTGTAGCTAATATTATTGAGCGTTGGCTTTTTCTTTTTTATTATTAAGGCTTCCATTACTTTTTATCTTTTTTTTTTTTTTAACTTGTGGATGAGGTTATTATGTTTGTATTTTCTACTAGTATGTTTTAGATGGTGCCTGGTAAGTTTGTGTATTTGAATGAATTCTAATGGAGTTGTGGTCAGATAGGTGTAATGTAAGGCATCTGGATAGGCAAGTAATAGTGTGGGATGTAATTATTTATGAATTCAGTTTGATCAGGAACACAGTTCCTTAAGGGGCATTTAAATTCATAAATAAGGTCTGTTTGTTGTAATTTTGATTTTGCTGTTGTGTTGTTATTTTTGAGGATAAGGTTAACTGTTTTAAGATTTTTGTAATAGATAATTTGATTTTTTTGTTCAGGTCAATTGGAGTAGTGTATTTCTTTATGATATTTCTAAGTGAAGATTCATCTTGTTTGTAGCTGATGTACATTTGGCTTTTGTAATAAATATTTGTTATTTTTTACTGTGTGTTCACTATCATTATTATTTACTTTGGGAAGAAATAGTTTAATTTGGACGTCTATAATTGCAGTGTCTTTTCTATCATCTTTAATGAACATGTATAAATGAAGGTTTGCTACCTAAATACACACAGACACACATTTATATATATGTAATCCTTTCACCCAAAGCAAGACAATGAAGCCAGTAAGACACAAAGGGTTACTGAATGTGAAAGAACATAAGAAAAACATTATTAAGTAGCAAGAACAATAAAAGAGAAATTTAGAATACAGTAGATAATGATTGACATTACATTTAGATGTTTGAAGATAAATTTTACTAGAAAGCAAAATTCCAGAAGAAAGTTTCACAAGCAAGAAGTATGAGAAAAGAAACCATTAGCATAGAACTTACGGTAACATCTAGTGGCCATTTCAGCTGTATAATGATGAGACCTTGCCACCAATCTAGTACTGTGCTTAAATTCATAAAGTCTAGGTACCAAAGAGGAAAGTTCATCAGAACAATTACTATGAAAATATTTAAAGGAAAGGCACAGGGAAGTTATGTTATGATGGTGGGAAAGGGACTGAAGCAGAGATGCCAGATCAGGACCAATAACATTGTAAATTCTACTTTGGAATTTATCAAGAATCTCTAAATATATAGCAGGAATATCAGACCATATGTGACAGCAGTAATCAAAGCATGGGTAAAGGGTAGATTTATATATGGTAGATATGTTTCTCTTGTTTACTCAAAGAGAAAGTACTGTGATAATTTGAATAAGTTAATTAACTGTCTCTCCAACAGTGTATGATGGACTAGGAAAATTAATAGTGACGATGCTTATTTAGGAAAATTAATGGTGATGATGCTTATCTAGGAAAATTAATGGTGACAATGCTTATCTAGGAAAATCAATAGTGACAATGTTTATCTAGGAAAATTGAATACTTTTCAACAAATCACAAAATTCAAGAGAGCTGATAACAAAAACACTTGACTTACACTTGCATCGGAGCCACTGGAAGGTTCTGTCAGACAAAAGCAAGCAATTTGTTCTCCAATGGCCAATGAAGGTAAATATTTTTTCTTCTGTTCTTGGTTTCCAAAGAGAAGAATTCCTTTAAAACCAATGGACTGAAAATAAAGTGGAAAAAAAAAAGAAAAACATTGTGTTCATGCAAGTTAAAAGGTTCTAAGATGCAACAAAACAACAAAAATCATGACAAAATCTTTTTCAAGCTTAAAACTTAAAATGTTATTAGTTCTGGTATGAATGTCTATGAGAAGAAATAATAATTATACATATAGACGCTCCATGTTTAATTGATTTAAGGACATACAAGGTAGTAAGAACGTTGCATGTCCTTAAATAACTGAAGAACAAACAGGATTGAAAGTTATATTTAATGTTACTGGATTTGCGAGCATGTTATAAAAAGAATTGAAATCTTAGAAAAAGAAAAAAGAAGAGAAATATGACATGGATTTAATAGTTATGTATGGTAACACATACAAGTAAAAAAAAAAAACTTTTACAAAATCCGCTTATCAAATGTTAGAATGAAAACAACTATTTTAGTGGGTGTAGAATTCTTTTTTGTATCAAGAGTTCTGAACCTTACCTGATGAGCACCAAGTGTAATTCCAACTCCCAAATCATGAGCACCAACAATTTCCACCAAACGTGCATACATTGTGTTTGTTAATCCAAGGCCACCTGGGGGGAAAATTATCTTCACCATAACAACAAGCTTTTGTATAGAACTTTAAACAAATCCTATATATGATAAAAATAATCCTCAACTTCTCATATACCAATTTTATATAAGAGCTGTGTACATCAATAATACTTGGAAGAAATATATTTAAAAACTTACATGTAATAACTGGCTACTCACTTCTGAGCACACACGTCTACTAGAGTGGCTAGACAATCCCTTCTGTAGACACCTACTCAGGCACACTTGTGTTTATTCAACACCCACAGAGCCCACCTATGGGTTTTACTGCAAGTATGTGGAACAGACTTTAGTTACAGTTTCTCCAGAGAGACTGCATAATCTGGCATGATCAACTAGTATGCTCAAACTCTCGGTTACGATGACTTATGACTTTCTGCTTGCAATTGACTCCAGTGAGATTCAAATTCAGATCTCACAGTCAGAAAGTGAACATTCTGACTACTTGGCCATGTGTCCATGCCAACTCACATGTAACAACCTAGTAAGAACAGTAAGGACTTAACAAAATACCAATTTCATGTTGTAATTTTTTAAGATAGCGTGTTAACTAATCATTGTACAGTGTTTTATAAACATAGTATCATTTACGATGTCAGTTTCCCTTCAATCTTGTGACTATATGACTTTGAAACACCGATTCTTCTATAATCACCGAAGTTAAGCAATGTCAAGCATGATCAGTACCTAGATGGGTGACCACTTGGAAATACCAGATACTGTAAGTTTGGATGTGTGGGTGGTGTAATGGATAATGGCTCAAAATTGTTAATTAGAGAGCAGAGTTCCAATTTCAGTTGCATTCATTATATTCACTTATGTGCAAATGAATCCACCTCTTTTGCCCTCCCCACCACCATCAAATTATTACAATCTAAAAATAATTTTCTGGTTTTAAATAACATGCAATGGCTTGATAAACTGTGCAAAACAAATTAATCAGCTATATATATATATATATATATATATATATATATATATATATATATATATATATATATATATACACACACACACACACACACACACAGATGATGTATCAAAAATAGCTTTACAAAATTTGGGGATGGTTCCTCACACCAAAACAAAAACAAAAGTCTATATATAAACATGTCCGCAAATCCTTTGTTTGTGAGTTATTAAGTTTAAAAAAAGTTTATGGCACACAGCACTGTGTTGCCATATAGACTTGGTTACCTTTGTTATTTGTGTACATTTGTGGCTAGTCTGTCCTTCAATGTTTAATGTGTGTAGTAGTGAGTTAACAGAGAAGTGTTCTGTTTAACAATAGCAGGATATTCATATCGTGAGAAGGCAGATATGATTCTTACATATACCCACTTGAATGGTAATGGACATGAGGCTGCACAGCTGTATAAGATTACATTTGCAGATGAAAGGCAACAGAGTCATCCAATCTTTGCTGATGTTTCTCATCGCATTGCTAAGACATGGCATCACAAACTATGGATTCAGGAAAGACAGAGATCTGCTTGTATGCCTGATCATGAAGAACACATTCGACAGGCAGTTGGAGACGATCCAGGTGTCAGCACATAACAAGTGGCCCTAGCATTTCATATATCTCATAGTACTGCGTGGAGGCTATTTCAAGAGCAGCTCCTGTATCCGTATTATTTGCAACATGAGCAGTGGGAGAACTTTTGCTGATAGTTTATTGTACAAACTGCCAATCTGTTGTTTGTCTCTTCAGTCTTGTTTACAGATGAGGTAACATTTGGAAGAGATGGAATAACAAATTTACACAATCAACATTGGTGGGTGAATTGGAATCCTCATGATACAATACATACCAGCATCAGTTAATGATTAATGTGTAAACTGGAATTGTCAGTGACTGGTGGGTCCATTATGTTCTCCCAGCATGTCTTACAGAAACTATCTACAGGGACTTTATTTCAAACACACTTCCAGACCTGCTAGAAGATGTATCTCTGCTAATACGAAGATGCATGTGTTTCATGCATGATGGGGCTCCAGCATCTTTTAGTCATATTGTTTGTGATCCACTGGCTGACATCTACCATGAAAAATGGAGAGGTAGGAGAGGACCAGTTCCATGGCCAGCATGTTGCCCCGACCTCAATCCTTTGGATTTTTATCTGTGGAGCCACATAAAAAAAATTAGTTTATGCAGCAGACATTAATAATGCAGAGACACTTCATCATCATGTTATGCAGGCCTGCAAAACCATTTCAACACTATGTGGGAGTATTTGAAAGGGTCTGTCAGTCAATGATCCAACAGATGTGTGTGTAGAAACAAGCTGAGAGCATTTTGAATATTTGTTATGAGTTGCTGTGTTGAGGTAAAATGATGGCCTTTTGGACATATGTTTATATGAACTTTTGTCCTTGTTTTGATGTGAAGAACCATTCTACAAAATTTTTTAAAGTATTTTTGATACACAAGAGAGAGAGAAAGAGATTGCAACACTGAATGACTCAGTAGAAATTGACATGCTGTAAATCAACCAAACCAACCTTTCCAGACTAAATTTATTTATAATCAAAGAGTAAAGTTACAATTCCAGTGATTATGCATTGAATGAAACCTTTGGTGAATTTAGAGCCATTTGGTTATGATTTTTTACTAAAGTGTCTACTATGTTTCCTTTGTAGATTCCAGTGGCAAATTTTAAACTGAAGCTGAAGGCTTCTCATTCTGTATTGGAAAGTTTTATATCTAATAGATTTTCTATTAGATTAGATATTTCCACTTGCTGTTGATGCATAGGTTGTTGAGTTTTTGTCTCAGTTTGTTGTTTTGATTGTCACTCATTTGTTTGATAGTATGGTATAGTTGAGCCATTTCTGGCTTTGTTATAAAGTACTTTTTGTGAAGTTGCATTCGAGCAGTTCTGGCTTTTTTTAGTGGTTAGTTTTTCTAATACTTTTAGTTCTTCAGCAGATGCTTCTAGGTAATCACATGTGTATGTTGGAAATGAGGAGAAATACACTGAAAACACTTTCAAACTTCTTCAGTACCTTAATTATTTTATATTCAATGCAAAACAAAAGGCCCATTAGATATTCCAAAACAAAAAACAACCTCTCCTGAGAACCCCAATGAATAAAAAAAAAAACAAAAAACAAACAATATTATCTTGCCTACTAATTTTATCACATCTACAATCAAAATCTAAACTCAACATAAAATTTGTTACTACTACATCCAAAACAATAAAAGATTTAGTCACTACTAAATGAAACAATAAGCTAAATCCTGAAGGAGGAGTTTACTCCATTGCCTGTAATAAATGCCACAAAAAATACGTAGGAGAAACTTCAAGGAATATAAAGAAAAAATTATATGAACACAAAAGGGACATTTTACAAAATAATATGTCAAATGCATTGGTTGCCCATTGTAACAAGACTGACCACAATTTTGACATAAAAAATGCTACTCTGATCAAAGGAGAAAATAATTCATCATGACGTAAATGTCTACAGAGTCCGTTAATCACAAAGTCATCTACAGTAAATTTACGTCCTGCCTCTTACAACATTTCACCATTCCTGGCAGATCTAATATCACAGTGTGGAATACCTAATTACAAAAGTGATAAAAAGAAAAAGACTCTAAATGAATTCGGCTAGATTAAAAAAATTCTAAAATTCCCAGCAGCCCTCTGTTGCGCATGTGTATAGTCCTACAAACATAACAAATTTAGTCTGATGAAGTCCTGAAGGTTGAAACGCATCACAAGTAAACTTTTTACACTTAGTCATACAATTTCCCCAATACTGTCCTTATATTTATATATATATGTGTGTGTGTGTGTGTGTACGTGTGTCGGCAGTTGGCAATTTAAATTTTATAAGCATGCATAAATACATTCAGAGCAGTGGAAGTGTTAGTAAATTTACCAGAATAGGGAAGGAGGAAGGTAAAAAGAAAATAAAGAGAGTGACACAAAAGAAAGCCTCGACATATATTTAAACAGTTTTTGGATTCATTAAGATTGATATAATTCAGAATGTGGAATTAGTAAATACCAAACACACCTGAAATAGCTTGGTGTATGAATTAGTTACACAAAATTTAGGATAGTAGATAAGGAAATTGAGCATAGAATAGGATGTGCTACTGCCAATTTGGCCCAACACCACAAAATCAAAATATTAATCTAAAAACTTGCGTCACCTTCTTAAATAGCTTTGTCAAATTAAGACTTCCAAATGGATGTCAGACATGGTGCTCAACTTGTTCAGAAATATCTAAACTGTCAGCCATACACAATAGCTTTCACAGATCAATGGTTAAAAATGGCTTTGAGGATCCTCCTTCTTTGCATCTTATGGACTGGTGCTACAGAATCACAAACAAAGAATTGTACCAAATAACAGAAACCACATCACTTGAGGACTTTCAACAGCAGTAACAGCTAAAATGGATAGCACATGTAACTCAAAGAGAAAATAATGCATCCTGAGTGTCTTGGCGAAGATCATTCTTTTTTGAACCTTGTGGACTGGTGCTACAGAATCACAAAGAAAGAATTGTACCAAATAACAATAAACACACCACTTGAGGACTTTCAACAGCAGCAACAACTAGAATGGATAACATTTGTAACTTGAAGAGAAACTAATGGCCCCACACTACTTCAAACAAAAAATTAGAAAGTAAGACTTCATCAATGCTGGAAAGAGCAATAACAGTTAAAGGGCTTGAGAAACTAATTTGCCTGAAAAATTGTTTTAAGAGAAAGAGATTATAAATTTCAACCAATATTAGCATTGACTCAGTCAATGAAAGCCAAATGTTTCCTTATAAAGAAATGGCTAATATTACCATTGGAGATGAGGAAAACAAATACTACACTCTGATCCCAGCCTGAAGGCCAGGTAGTGAAGAAAAGCATAATTTGCGTAGCACTGACTGCTTGATCAATGAATGCTAAAGGTTTCCTTATGAGGAAACGGGTAATATTACTATAACTATTACTGTCCCCTTAGCACCAAATGGGCAACCATCTAAAAATGGAATGTTTTACAAGTAAAAAAAATAATATATCTTCATACTTATAAAATCTGTATTGCTTAAGTGTAAACACTATTGAAGATAAAGACAAAGATACAAGAATGGCTGAAAAGTGCAACAAACAACACAAATGAGATTGTATGTGTGAATGACTCACCAAAATCCAGAGGAACTTGCAGTCCAAAAGCTCCCATCTCTTTAAGGCCTTGTAATGTTTCATCGTCAACTTTTTCAATCTGATCATTTTTAGTTGCATCATTCACTTCCTGTCAAAGAGAAAAGACATCATTTGTAGAGCTTGTTTTAATAAATTTTATGCATTGATTTCTTGAACATTTTTAGAAGATGGAAATCAACATCAAAATGTTCAATATTTGCATAAAAGTTGTCAACAGCAAAAAAGATGAAATGAGAATTGGTTTGGTTAATAGCACATCAACTCCTTTATGGGTCATTTAATGCCCAAATTTAATTTTCTTTTGAGCTCTGTTACACCCTCCCCCCATAAAGTATTGCTGGTAATTTTTTCTAATGTATTTTTATATTTTGACCACCACTTTGGGGGTTCACTATTTGACCATATCTGAGACCCTACCAAGTGCTTCGACCCTGGGTCAGGGCAGACCTGGGAACAACAGTAATTAAGAGATGGTTCTAAACTCCTCAAAACCTCCCAGTCAGAGGTTTTGCAGCCAGATGTAGTTTATCATCATACCCAGGATGAATGAAATGAGAACAAAAGTTTTATGTATTCGATTTTCATTTCTTTTCCAGTCATTAAGAAAAAAATTTATTTTTATTACTGAATAAAGACATAATCATTAAAATCTAATTTAATAATTATCATTCCTCTAGTCTATAATGAGCACTTTATTGGTAGAAATTCTGCTAAATTTGATATATGTTAAATTATATAATTTTACATATATTATTTGTTAATATTAATAGCTAGCAGATTTCATTTTATTCTATATATTTAGATTTGTTGTTGTTATGACATTTCAGCCATTGTGCCCTCCAACCATCATCAGGTGTATATTGATCTGGGTAATCTACAAGGAATTCTGAACAGAACTCTTTATTTAATCTACAGGGGTAGGCTGTTCTTGTTCCACTGCTCATGTCTAGAGATATCTAGACAATAGCCTAGTGGATTAATGTTTTGGTTTCTGAATTTGGTGACATAGTAATTGTGAGTTCAATCCCTGGTCCAGGCAGTGTGTACTTGCTCAGTGAAAACGAATAAGAAATAAGCAAGCATTACTGAAAATAAGACATATATTAAATAAAGGTTTCAGTTCAGAATTCCCTGTAGGTTACCCAGATCAACATACATCTGATGAAGGCTGGATGTCATAACACCCAAAATGTTTTGATAACAACAATAAAGATGAGGACAACAGTTCGAATGTAACTAGTGTAAATAATAATTCCTCATCCCCAAAATTCCATCGGATATTCTATAAATTATTGAAAATACATGGACATATATATATATATATATATATATATATATATATATATATATATATATATATATATATAAATAAATATAAAATAAATGCAAAAATCTGTGTGTCAATTTTTCAAATAAAGGGCACAACTGTCTAACTTTTAAATATCTCATCTTCAAATGAGACTTGCTCATTCAGGATTGGAATTGAATCCTCAGATTGCAAATTTAGCTCTTTAAAATTGAAAACAAAGTGATGAACTTGGCTCAAAGAGATCTCAACAATTTTGGTCTGCCAAATCCAAACAGAGAAACTGGAAAAATCAACAGAGAATTTTTTAGAAAATGTACCAGTTATGCTATTGAGAAATCTGGATCCTCTAAAGCTTTGTAATGGGACAAGGTTAATTGTTAAGAAGATGCTTCCTCATCTCTTGGAAGCAGAGATCCTTACTTGTTCAGGAAAGGAGGAAAGAGTTTTAATTCCAATGTGACACCCACTGGTGGTCACAGCACCAATATGTGACACTGCGCTATCGGCCTGTGGTCAACTCCCAGTTGCGGTGCAGAGCTATAAGGTTTCTTCCACCAGCGTTTGGGGTTGACTCCCTGTTGCTCCCACCAGCCTGTGTCCTGGTCGATCTGGTCATTCAATATTTAATACCAACTTTGTCGTTCCCAGCTCACTTCCAACGTCTGGTTACCGAAGTAACTACTTTGATCTCAAGTCTAACCTACCCATGTTGTGACTTTGATCTTAGGTAGACAAAATCAATCAGGCGTTGGGCTGTAGTGCAAGCTGAATCCGGGGTGAAGGTGATATCACTCAAGCGTAAGTAAAAGAAGCAATAAAACAAAACTCAAGAGGTTCAAATATGTTGAGAAATAACAAATTATTGTTACCCGTCTATTATATACAGGAGTGTGTTTCTCTCCCAACCCATTTCTATGGATTTGTGACACTTTTGAACCGACTGCTCGGTTGAACTCTTTTCCTACGGACGGGAGGAACCCGAAGGAGTCTCCTTCGGGGAGGTAAACCTGGCCTTGAGCCCATTTATACGGGTTCAATGGGCATATTTTTGGCCGAGCCCACGGGCTCGAAATGTCCACGTCAAAAAGGCCTTGTGCCACATGACATCCTCGTGGAGCGGGGGTGACTCAATATCGTGACACTTTTACATTTCTTAAGCGAGTTTTGGTATCTTAAGTCATTTGTCAATATAACTTGCTTTTGGTAGGAAGTGAAGTCGAAAGGACATAGAATTTCTCGGTCAGCTTCTGCGAGGCAACACTCTGACTGGAACTGAACTGCGAATCAACTGCTAAACTGCCCGGGAACGTTTGTTTATATGGACACCGACCAAAACCCGTTGTGGGAGCTGACATGGTTTGGGTTCCTCAATAATTCTCGATTCCCAACAAAAATTCTCTATGTTCTTAGGCCAGGAAAATTAATTACTTCCCATTTTTGGAAGATTAATTACTTTCCATTTCGGGGGTTGCTCCCTTGTTTGTGAGGGAAGGTTGGAGGAGAGTTATCCTCCTAGACTCTTCCTCTCTCATATTGGTATCGCATACCAATCCCCTCAGTGGGGGGGTGGGGGGGTGGTGCGTATTTTACCTGAGAATCAAATTCTTTATTTTTCTCATGCCTTAAAATCCTCTTATCACCAAGTGCCCATTTTCAATGACACTGTGTCTGATGTCAACAGTTTGAAAAAGTAATAATAATAATTTTCTCTATGATTTTCTTCCTCATGCTAGAATTCTAACACATACCAGATGATTTCCCTTTGTTGGACCCAGGAATCAAAATTAAATGATATCTCTGAAAGATAACTAATATCGATTCTATCTGCCTGTATCGTGGGTCTCAAGCCAAAATGTTTTTATGACTGCCATGTGTCGGCTGGCTTTGTTTTTCTTTCTGAATTTTGTTTCCCTTGGCGCATCATTCCCTTACCATGACATTAATCAGTTTTGACAGAATCGCTTATCTCGCTTTTTCTTACGGATTTTCTGTCTCGTGTGAAAAGTATCTTTCTTCGTAAATAAAATAAAATCTTCTTTTTAATGTCGCTCAGTCTATCTTTCGATATAGCTCTTTCTCGCCTTAGGTCTTTACTGTTTTTAATTTCTATGGTTAATTAGTTAGCCAATTACCATAGCTAGTGTCACACCAAGAATCCCCTTAATTCCTCCAGATCTTCCTTTTGAGTTCAAAAGACTTCAGTTTCCAATAAGAGTGAGTTATGCAATGTCAATCAATAAGTCTCAAGGACAATCATTGAAAGTAACTGGACTTCATCTGATGGAACCTTGCTTTTCTCATGGTCAGCTCTACGTTAGTTGTTTGTGGGTTGAGAATGGAAACAAGCTATTTGTACTGATCTCGAGTGGGAAAACGATAAATGTTGTTTATCATGCAGCTTTGAAATAAACAGACAAATTATATCATTGTTTTGATAAAAACTGTTGTTTGAAAAATATTGTTCAAGTTTAATAAAATTTAATATGTACTCAATGCATGAAGTGTCATTGTTGGGCCTTTGGCCCAATCAAGAGCTCTCTGCAAGAGCTAGCTTAAATGCTGCCTGATAGAGTGGCTTTTAAGCTAGTTTATATATATATATGAAAAAAGACAAAAGGAAAACTTATCTTACTTATTTGCCTTGATAAAGTCCCTCATAGGACAAAACGCATTGGCTAAGATAAGTTTTCCTTTTGTCTTTTTTCATATTGTCCTTTTACAGATATACTCTATTTATGATTTATATATATATGTGCATGCATGTGTGAGTGTGTCTGTGTGTGTGGCATAATACTTAAAGTAAAATCAGTAAGTTGATTTTAAATTCCTGCCTCGTCTGTTGCATTCATTTTCATACTAATACCACTGAGAAAGACATGAATCCACTTCTTCCTCCTCAGTTATCAGCTAAATATCAGTGTAGACTGAGCACTCCAGTCTTAAGTGGCAGCCTACCTAAGAGAAGGAAAACTGGGAATTTCAACCTATAAGGAAAGGCAAAAGGAAACAACTCCACTATCTTTCTCAAGAAGTCATGGCAATTTATAGATGATAAAAAAAAGAAGTGAAATCTGTGGAGAGCCATGATTATTTCCAACTTGAAGGGACATGGCATTAGAAGAAAAAAAATGAAGATATATTATTACGAGAGGATGCTGAAAATTTCCAGGCCCATCCCACTTCCTAAAATCTAACCAAATGATCAAACATCAGGTTTAACTTTGGAAATTGTGGGGAAAATTGTGAAAATGGCCTACCTTGGAAACGCCTGCGAATCTGTGCGATGTGCAAACTCCGGTTTGCTCAACGGTAAAAGGAACCAAAATGGCGGCGCCCATGTTTTCTGCCAGACGGTCTCAGACAGTTAACGCGAAATCTCGTCTCGTCATTCGCATGCAAATCATGGTCGGTCCTCGGCTGTATAAAGCATGCACGTTTTTGTTTCTGATCAGTGGGCTTTTTGTTCGTGAGAAGGTTGGACGTGTGACACTTTGTCGGTTACCCTCCTTGCGTTTTTTTTTTTTGTTCCTATCTGCTATTATCAGTTGAATCGTTGTGTTACCACCACAGAAATCTTCCTTGGTCAGTTTGAGAACTTTTCAACATCCCCTCATGTGATCCTTATTTTTTTTTTTTTTTTTTATTTTTCCATTTATTAATAATTTTATGAAATGAAAATATCACAGAAGCTAAAATCATCAGAATTGTTAATGATGATCTAGAAAGAGTTATTTAAAAGACAAGAAAAACAAGAAAGTGCTGCAAGCAACTTACTTCAAAAAATTTGGCACATGGATCCACTAATTCCGTCAAAGTTTGTTTTTGATCTTCGTCTAAAACTGAAATAAAAGAATTCCATATGCTTTCATATAAAACTGAATATTCAAAAGTTTCTCAGACAACAATAAAAAAACAGAATATAAAAATATCATACATGAAAGAAGCACTTAATCAGTTATGATTTCTATTCAGCTTAGGTAGAGTTGAAGATTTTTCTGGGAGATTAGGATGATGAATATAATTTAAATTCTATTTCAAGTAATCACAAGAGTTTCTAACATCTTAGACATTTAACTGATAAACTTAGAAGTACTGACAAAACATTTGCCCATGTAGTAACAGGTTCTACAGAATTTTGGAAATTTTGTACATCTTCAGCAGGCAGTTTTGCAAAAGATTATTTGTATTTTAGAAAAATGTTGGTTAAAATTAATAGACATAAAATGTCTACCCTATATTGGGACTATTGCCCTCATCTTTGTTATTTTATTACGTTTCAGCCGTTGTGCCCACCAGCCTTCCTTGGGTGTATATTGATCTGGGTAAACCTACAGGGAATTCTGAACTGAACACTTTATTTAATCAATGGGGATAGACTGTTCTTGTTCCACTGCTCATGTCTGTATTGTTTTGTTCTTCTTATATTTAGCACTGTTCAGTTTCCACTGACTGCTAGTACACACTGCCTGAGTCAGGATTGAACTCACATCCACTATGTCACCAAATTCACAAACCAATGCTTTTATCCACTAGGCCACTGTCCTGTAGTGAAACAAGAACAGTCTACCCCTGTAGGTCAAATAAAGGTGTTGGTTCCAATCTTTGATGGAATGACTGCAAAATACATTCCCCTCCTCAATTTATCGACAGAAGCACATAAATGCATGCCGGTATTTTTTTTCCTAGCCGATAATATAAGCCAGTTCTTAGTTTTATCTGATTCAGTCCCAGTCTGTCTTGTCTTGAAGTCAGAATGCTATGTTCACTAATCCAAACTCACTTGCAGGTCAACCCCAATTCTTAGTTTGTAAACTTTTTGCCATATTACTGTTGTTTTGCCTTGCATACATGCCCACTCACTCTGCAAAAGAGTTCAGTTTGGAATTCACTGTAGGTTACCCAGATTGATATACACCTGAGGAAAATCAGAGGGTACAATAGCTAAAATGCTGTGACAACAACAAAGATGAGGATAATAGTCAGAATATAAATAGTGTAAATAACGATAACTGTTCATTCTAGAAGTTCAGACAAAAATAAAATGTCTATATTTTTTAAAGTACACACACACACACACACGTGTGTGTGTGTGCGTATATATATATATATATATATATATATATATATATAGGGAAAATGTTGTTCCAAAGAGAAAAATGTATATTTAAAAAAAAAGAGAGAAACTGCAAGTGTTTTTGGTTATAATATGGATTTGTTTCAGTATGCAAATTTTATTCTTCAGATTTCTGCTACACGAGTTTCTGGTCTCGTGACCTTCTTCAGGCAAATAAAAGGAATAAATTTTCCTTATGTTCTTTTAATGTCTGATTGTTTGTTTTCTGTATTTGTTAGTGAGCCTTGAAGTCCTTTCTGGACTTTTGGCAAAAGTGAATTTCTGGCTAAGTGTTAACAAAAGCCATTAGGTTTGGTATGAGAGGTGGTGATTCAAGGCTCACTAACAAATACAGAAAACAATGAGACATTAAAAGAACATAAGGAAAATTTATTACTTTTAAAAATTTATTATCATTATGATGCACCAATATACTCAGACTAGTGTCCTCATCTTGGTAATTATAGTCACAAAATTTTGGCAGTTATACTCTTTGGTCTTCTTCAAGTGTCTGTTGGGATTGATAACATTCTGGGAATTTTGAAGCAAACCTCTTATTCCATTGATAGATGTGGATTGTTATTCCACTATCCAAAGAATATTTTGGATTAGTTAATATGTTTTAGTTAATTTATTCTTCTGATGTTGCTTCCACTCAATCAGAGGATGGGACTTTTGAAACAAAAATTGATGGAAGAGATAAGAGACATTGCAAGGACAAATTAACTGACACAAGATAACTCCTGACATGGATAGCAAAATGAGAACAATCTACTCCTGTGGATTGAATAAAGGGTTCAGTTTAAAAATTTATCTTGATAAGCATAAATGAAAGAACAGACATCTGGTTTAATAGTTCAAAATTCCATTTTAGAACATTAACCTCATAGATAAAAATTATGGTCAAGTGTGTCTACTTTAGTTCCTTGGTCAGATAGTAACTTTGGTCAAATAAGCAGTATAAAGGAAAAATTGGCTAAGAATTGATACATATCATGAATTGAATAAAGTGTTTGAAATTCTCAGAATGTTACTGAATATATGTGAAGATGGCCAGAGGATAAAACATTTGAAATGTAACCAATCAAGATAAGGATATAGTTTCAAATAAATCCATCTATAATAAATTTCTGGTGCCATAGAAAAAGGGAACTGTATTCACCTTCTGGATATGGGAAGATTTGATCGGTTATCGCCTGCCCACGGAAAAGGCTCATGGCAAATGATCGGGATTCCTAGAGAAAAAGAAAGAGAAAGAAAACATTTTATTTGAAGTAGATCAAGGACTGATGTCAAAGTCCAAAGACATTTTCCCAAAATCATTTTCAAACTTTTAAGACTTACCCTGGAAAACATATTTAAATGTACTACACACATCAAAAGTCAATTTCAATTTTAAGTATGATTTATTGGTTGTTGCCAAAGAAGTTTAGCTCGTTGAGCTTTACAGACAAAAACCTTTCTGAGTGAACAGACAAAAAACATTTTTTCTAGAATAGTATTTTTATTTTGCTATTCCCAGAGGCAATCAAGTAAAACACACATCAAAAGCCAATAATAATCATGAAAGCCATTTTAAAACTGACCATGGAAATTTATCTATAAAACAGTAAAAAACACAAAAGGTGTATCAATAAATCTATAGCCTGATAGTTATTAGCTGAATTTTGACCTGGAATTTTCATTGTATAATGTTTGAGATATATTATTAGCATTTTCACTGTTGCCTGGCTGTACTGATCCATTTTGGGGAAAATATGAAATTGCCATTTATTGGAAATAAATAACTATAAAGATGCTGATTGCAATTTCTAATGGACACTACCATTTTGATTGGATACTCTGCAGGATAGACAAAGCTAAATGACACCTCTAGCATGCAATAAAAATATATCAGAAAACAGGTTGTACTGTACACAAGTATATATCTATACTGTTGTGGAAACTGTATTAAGTGTTAGTTACTTTATAACATAAATGCTAGGGACCAACATTTCACAGTATCTTGAAAAAGTATAGGTATGTTAACTGCAGGCAATGTAAGTTTTTAAAGTGTAGTGGAATCATGAATATTCACCACCAAATTAAGTGCATTGACAAAGAAGGAGATTATGTTGAAAAATAAATATTTCTTTCAGTATCTGTCTTTATTTCCGAGATGAGGTATTATGTACATTATTTACATTATTCAGACTATTGTCCTAATCATTGTTGCCATATTTATTACAACGTTTCGGCTGTTGTATGCTCTGGCCTTCTTCAGGTGGTTGGAATGTCGAAGTGAACTCTTTATTTCGCTCACTGGAGTAGACTGTTCTAGTTCCACATGCCATGTTTAATGGATGTCAGTTATCAGTTATCTCCTGTTAATTTCCCTGTGAAAGTTCTCCACTGCCTTGACCGGGTATTGAACTCACACTCTTTGGGTCCTGTCACTGGATCTAACTAACGCATTTATCCACTGTCCACCTCAAGGACACATGGCACAGTGGATGCCTTGATAAAATCCATCAGAAGGCAAAATGCATCGACTAAGATAAGTTTTAGTCTTTATTCATATATATATATATATATATATATATATATATAAAAGATTGAAATAAATATTTCATTTATTCATCTGACCTAATTTATTAAATGTTATTTTTAGTGGATACACATTTGTGTAGATGCTATATTTATTTATTAAACACAATACTTATTTATTTTCATTTACTGCCCTCATGTACTGATATTGATCATTTTTGTGTTATCTAGCAACAGAATGAGATGTAATCTCACCTGCACTATTCTTAATTGTCCTGATAAGAAAAGCCTTGGGTAAAAAGAAATACATTTAGATAAGGGTTGATATTTACTGGAGAGAAAAAAAACTAGATGGCTACAAAGTGCAAATTCCCAGTGGTCTTTAAGATATTTTACATATAAGAAACAGAACACAAAGGTAAATATTGAACCAGTTGAAGAACACAAACAGAATTATATCTTTAAATCTTTTTGGCCAACTACTTTTAGCTATGAAGATATGTAAAGCTTGTAAATTTATGATATTTTATGATAATTTATTTCTTTAAATTCTTAATTATAACATATTTTATTTTTATCACAGAAGCAAAGTTGGTTTTAGAATATTATCTGTAGGAATAAATAATTTATTATTATATTGTTTGTGTGTGTGTGTGTGTGTGTGTATATATATATATATATATATATATATATATATATATATATATTTCTAAAGAAATAATAGATTTTTTATCACTTTAAACATTATTTTTAGTGGATACCCAAAAGCTCCTTTTATTTTAAACAGTATATTTGTTTCATTTACTGGCTTGAATATTCAAGAAATCTTATTAAAGAAATATATGAATCCTGCTTTGTTTAATAAACCAACAAATTTTTATCGCATTTAGTAATGTTTAAAATGATAAAAATCTAAAAGCAGATAGGAATTTTTGAGAAACTGGGACAAGGGATTTAGGCTTAAAGGCACCATTCAGCCTTGCTTGATCAGTGATACTCTTCATGGCCAAGTCAGTCTAAAGATGGTTGCAGGTTCCAATCCAATTACTTATATATTTATCAGATTAGATCTTTACAGTGATTAACAGAATAATATATCCAATAAGAGAAATCAAATTGGAAACTGCAAGTATAAGCAATTATAAAAAAGTAAAGAGAAAAATTTTGGTAGCATTGAATTGATTCAACTTGACAATCTAAGTAAATGGTGGGGGGTGTTGAGTAATTGTATGTCACCAACCTCTTTACTGAAGTGTGGGAAGTTGTGTCTGGTTTAAAAATCACTTTGGAATTTTGAACATTGTGATTACAGTGAGAAATAAGCCAACTACTTCTGCTACCAAGCAGGCATATACAGCAAGGATTACAGAGACTAACAATATTAGATCAGAGTTAATGGTTAGAAATTAGTCTGTATTAGTCTGAAGATACTTAAGAATCCTTGGACTGAACCAACTTTCTAAAATCAGATGAAATATTAACATTTTTATGAAGTGTCTCTTCTTGGTTGTGTCAAGAAATTTTCAGTACCCCCCCCCTTGTGTGTGTGTGTGTGTGTGCAAGTGGATCAGTAAATGTGCTCTGAAAATTAATGTTTGATTAATGGGGAAAAACAAGCCTGTGGACACAGATTAAATTTAAAATACTTTTCTTCTTAAATAATTAGGCTATGATATCAATTAACACATATATATATATATATATATATATATATATATATATATATATATATATATATATATATATAAATTAATGAATTTTTGCACTAAAATCGTGCAACTATACTTAAGTATTTATGGTATTTTATTATAGCTGGTTCACATATTTTTATAATCTTGTAAATATAAAATTATTTTTGTAAATAAATAAATCTAATAACTAAATAATGTTTAACATCTTTGTTGTCAATTCTCAAGAAAATGTATAAATCCACTTTCATATGTTTAGGTTTTATTAAAATTCTAATCATTGCTTTTTAAAAAATAAAACATTACTGAGGGAATCAAAAGTGTATACAGTAATGGCAGTATCAAGGGAAGTAACCAACCCTTTGACAGCATTTTTTTTTTTAAACAGACACAAAGGTTAAACATTGCTGTTATTTTTGTGTAGTAAAAAGTTCTTTTTAAAAAAAGTGTAATATAGAGCATTTATATATCAGTAAGTAAATGAATATAGAAATAAAAATTGTGTGTGTGTGTAATTTTATTACACAATTATTTTAAAAGAATTTGCATCAAGCAAGTAATCCTTGTAAAACTTTTCAAGAAATATATTTCAGAATATACTTATTGTACATCATGAAAGTTTCAATCTGTATCTATCATTATTAAAAATATTAATAATAAATTGTTTCCGTCTGTCAGATTTTATTATGCAAAAGTTTAATATGGATTTTTATTCATAAATAAACAAATCCAAAATATATAGGACAAAAAAATGATTACATTCAAATCAGCATGTTCATCTTTGTAGCTATATTCATAACATATTGACCATTGTACTCTCTGGCCTCTTTAAGTATCTGTCAATGTACTTGTTAACTTGTAGAAATGTTAAACCTTTTCCATACTTAATCTCCAGTCTTATTCACCTTTGTCTTGTCAGTTTCTTTCAGGGAACCAAATATGTTTTAACCAACATTTTAATGTACTAAGCTACAGGTTTCATTTTTCTTGAGTCAGGAACTTTGAAGGCGTCTATAACTTTAATGTCTAAAAATCCTGGCCCAAAACATTATTCCACTGTTGTCTTCTAGCTTCCTATCGACTGACCATTTCTATGAAGGGCCCACCTTCTAATCCAGCAATCCAATTTATTTTTCATTCATCACTAAAAATTACAGTTGAGAAAGGATTTTTCATGTATTTACAAGGTCTGTCTGAAAAGTAACAGGATTAGTGTCACAAACAATTTATTTCCATTCCAAACAACTACATGGTTTCCCCTTCAAAGTCTAATGAACTTTTCTATCCTTCTCTGTCACATTTTTATGCATTGCTAGGAGGATTCTTCATGGCTGTCCCTCAGCTCCATCATTACAACCCTCTTGCTGGCTTCCATGCCTTCAAAACAGGTCCCCTTGATCAGGTGAATAGGGAGGAAGTTCTTAGCCAGAAATTGCCAGATGCTCAACATGTTGTGAGCAGGTGCATTATTGTAAAGAAGGAGCCATGATTTGTCATGCCACAACTCTCATCTCTTCTCACATACTGACTGAAGCAAATGTCGCAGGATCTCTTTATAGACTTGCTGAATGATTGTCTGGCCCTGGAGCAAGAACTCCCTGGATGGTATCCAGAGCTCACACATCACACCCAGTCCCTTTTCAGACAGACCTCATATTCACCAAAAATAACATTTCTTTTTGTGATATTAAAAGGGGTTTAGCTGTTTTCTGGTCATTAGCCAGTGCAGCTAAGATTCTGCATTTTTCTTTTACAATCACAACATTCAGATTTTCCAAAATATTTTCTTCTTCATTTTGTAAATCTTTAAAATACCTTTCTTCATTTCTAAAATTTAAAAAAAAATTACCCTTCTTCATTTTAAAAATTTTTTATATTACCTTTCATTTTTTTTTTTCAAAACTTATATATTCTGAACAGCAGTTTTTATCTTGTTTTTATAACATCTAACTGCTTAGAATATTTTTGTCCTGGTCAAAGATGACATGACCCCACCAGAGGCTTCCATCTCATTCCTGACCCCTTGAACATGAAGTCTAGGCCACTTTCAAGATTTTGGCTATCTGCAAGTTACAATGCTTGTCAGATTGTGCCATAATCATTGCATATATTTTCATTTCCTTTATCAGATTAGCAGATGCCATGTTAATGCTCTCCATATGTCTAAAAGAAAAATGAGAATGTTAAGATTTGGCACATGCCATGGAACATTATAACCTACTTTGTGTTTCAAAATCAGTGTTATATATATATATATATATATATATATATATATATATATATATATATATATATATATATGTGTGTGTGTGTGTGTGTATCTTAAGGTATGCTATATTTATGTGTTAATGTGCTCAATATCAGGGATAGAGCATATATAATATAAAAGTGAACAATGAGGTCAACACTGAGTGGTGACAGTCTGTTTCATGCTTAAACACAATCTTCAATCTGAGGATTGCATTCAAGCATGAAAAAGACTGTTGCTGTTCAGTGCTGACCTCAGTGTTCACATATAAAACATAAATACACTGAGCAGTACTAAAAACAAGAAAAAAAACAAGATATCCCTAGATGTGGGCAGTGGAATGCGAACAGTCCATCCCTATAGATAAAGAGTTCAGTTTGGGATTCCCTGTAGGTTACTTGGATCAACATACATCTGATGAAGGCCAAAGGGCACAATGGCTGAAATATTGTGATAACAACAACAAAGATGAGGAAAATAGTCTGTATGTACATAGTTTAAATAATATACAATTTTTTTTACTAAACACAACTGACAAGTTCTATTCATTTTATTTTGGATTGTAAGTTTTTTTTCCAGTTTGTGTATATCACATATCCAGAATGTATGAAGAAATTGTTGAAATTTGTTTATATTTCAGAGATGAGGTATTGTAACTATTTACAATATTTACATTGTTCAGACTGTTGTCAATAAAGTTTATTGTCATAAACGACTTTAAACTAGCTCCTGGGGACTGGTCGCCTAGAAAGCACTTCCTCATATTGCACACAAACAAGTTTAGAATTAGAGAAACTGCCAAAGGTAAAATTCCAGTGTGATTGAATTATAAGTTCTTCTCACATTTGCCCTTCTTCGGTAGTAGAAGTAAATAAATACTAGACCAGGTAAAAAAAACAAAAAAAAACATGTTTGTATTATTACGTAAAAAAAAGAAAAAAAAAGAGAAAGAAAAACCTTTATCGTTGGTAATAAAAACTACGTTCGTAGACTTCATTTTTTTTTCATACGATAAACTTTAGTTTTAGTTTTTAGATCGACCCAAGTAAAATTACGTAACAAAATACATAGCGACAATGATATTTAAAAAAAAATTATAATAGAAAAAAAATTAACACATTTTAACCAAATTTAATCATTAAATTTTAATGTAATCAGTTTAACTAGGTTTAATTTTAAATTTGGGAATAGTCAGTCAGAACTAGTGCTTTTTATTCGAAATCAAAACCTTTTTTTTTTACTCTTTACTTTTTACTGTACCGTATTTTTTTTGTTTTTCACTTTTTCAAAAGTGCCAAAAAAAAGGCGAGGAGGGTCATACCCCCAAAAAAAAAAAAAAAAAAAAAACAACAAAAAATTCTAAAAACAATTTTGAAACAAAAAAAAAGCTTGATTCAAACAAAAGAAGGATATCGCCTAATAATTTTTCCGTCTGTGGTAACATAATTTTATTACAACAATACAACTGTCTTTGTTTTAAGAAGTTTTTTTTTTTCTTTTTTACAGTCTTTGAAAAAAATCTCTAATTAAACTTTTTTTCATCGATTAACATAAAAGATTAAATGAGTTTAAAAATTCAGTATCTGTCTATATTTCTGAGATGAGGTATTATTATGTAATTGTACACAGTGTACACTATTCGGACTATTGTCTTCATCTTTGTTATGTTGCCATATTTATCACAACGTTTCGGCCATTGTACGCTCCAGCCTTCTTCAGGTGGTTGGAATGTCGAACTGAACCCTTTATTTCGCTCGCTGGGGTAGACTGTTCTAGTTCCACGTGCTATGTCTAATGGATCTCAGTATCAGTTCGATATTCCAACCACCTGAAGAAGGCCGGAGCGTACAACGGCCGAAACGTTGTGATGACAACAAAAATGAGGACAATAGTCCGATTAATGTAGAGTTTAAATTTATTTTTCAGTCATTAGTTTTGTTTGTTCTTAATTTTCTATTTTAAAGACAATGAATGAAATGAATTGTCATTTTTCAACAATGATAGTTTTTTTTTTTTTTGTTAGTTGATAACGAAGATTTTTAATTTTAGTTTTACTTTTAAATTTAAATTTCTCGAATTTAAAAACATTTTAGTTTTATTTTATTGGTAATTTTTGTTTTTAACTAGGGATTTTTTCCGAGTTTATTTTCTGAATCTTGAGCTGTCAAATTTTTTTGAAAAGACCGTTGTTGTGACGGACGCTCCTCGTTAGGAGTTTCACATGATTTTTTTTTTTAATCGCAATGACCTTTGTCCTTTATTAGACACACCTTAAAATAAATAAATAAAAATGACACTTTCAGACAAAGTCATTTTTTTCTAGTTTTTTTATGAAATTGTTGTAAAAGTATGATTTTTTTTAGTTGAAAAAAAAAAAACAAAAAAACTTATTTCGAAAAGTATTAAATTGCCAATATTAAAATAATTTGAAACCAAGACTAGTTTGTTTATTTTTTTTTTTTAACTGATTTTTGTTTGAGCCCCCACCCCCACAAAAAAAAAACCCACACCTTTTTGAATTTGTTCGCAAGAGGTCATAAACAGGTGGTTAAGAAGGTAGAAAGTACCACTAGTTGCACAAATTTGGCACCATTTATTTCGGTGACTCTCTGGCAATAAAATTCACTTCTTACCAAATATTTTAAAAAAATTTCTTGGGGGGGGGGGGAATAAACAAACTATTTTACTTTTTTTTTTACCTTTCTAAAAACTAAAAGGAAATTCGTTTGTGGTTATCGCGTATTTAACCATTTAGCATTCATTCAGGACAAGGAGATTATTTTTTTCAAATTTCAAACTTTTTCGTTAAAATTTGCCACTGACATTGGTCATTGGATATTGAACTTTAAAAACCCAAATGTTCAGGCAATAACGGTCACAAAATCTGCCTGACCACCCAAGCAAGACAGCAAAAACAGCTTAATTAAGTATTTTTCACCTTATTATAAAAAATAAAAAAAAGTAAGGAAGCTGTGGGGTACATGGATCGTTTTACGTCTTGACGAGAAATGTAGCCGGGAGAGGGGGGAGAAAGAGAAATTTTTTTTTTTTTTTTTACCCTGGGGGATTGTGTAGCTTTTCCTCTCCATTGTGTTTTTTGTGCAACTGCTGTTGTCCGAAGTCTGAAATAAATAAATGTAGACAAGAACATTATTTTTTTTTTGTTTAAAACGAAAAAGAAAAAAAGAAAAAAATTAAAGATTTTTTTTTTTTTTTTTACCAATTCTAACATCGCGAAAATAAGACTTGTTCAAACATGATAATTTGTTTCCGGTGGTCAATGAAAAAAAAATAAAATAGGGGCGGGGTAGGAAGAAAACAGTCATAAAATACGGGAAAATAAAATAATAAATTTTTATAAACACTTTGTCATTTGGTTCTGCTTTGAGGAAGAAACAAAAAGGTGGGGTAAAAAAAAATACTTTTGTTTTTTGTCATGTGACGGCTTCATCATAAATACTTCAGAACAAGTCGGTAACAGTGATCAATGATCGATTTTTATTAAAAGGTTTTCTTTTTTTCCAGATTTTTTTGACTAGCTTTGATTATTTTTTTCCATTCATTTCAATCCCGAAAAACAAGTAAATAAAAAGAACACTAATAAAAAACACGTCAAAATGACATAAAAATGTAAGTAAACTGTTGGAACTTTTAATTTGATAAACAGAAAGATTAGATTTTTTTTCTATTAATATCGAAGACTTCAATTTTTATATTTTTGAAAAATTCTTCGATATTTTCTCCATTTTTTTTAGTAGACTTTTAATTTTTATACTAGTGATTATTCACCCAGAAAATAATTTTTAGACAAATTAAAAAAAAAAAAAAATCAATCCAGAAAAGACTTTTTTTAAAATCAAAATAACTAAATCTTTTAAATAAAATGACAATTCTGATAATTTTAAAGGATTAATTTTTCTTTTCTTTTAAAAGAGAATTAGAAGTCCTAGTTGTTGACCTGACTTCCATCGGCTGCTAAATCTATCTTTTAGAAACCTTTCTTCTGGAGGGTGACTGATACTTACCCAAATGTTAATAAATTATTTGTTGCTTTTGGCCTGAAAACGGCAATAATTCGTCCAATCTGAGGTAAACGTAACATTTTTGGTTAAGGAAAACGAAGTTTTTTTTTCACCTGTCCCGCTTTTGGAATTGGAGTGGGTCCAACTTGTTTATAGAAAGTCAATTCGATGGACTGCAGATTTGACGTAAGGGAAACAACTATTTATATAAGGCGGTGAATACACACTTAATGTTCCTTACGTAATTTCATACCGTGTTGTCCTCTAAATCTTATTTAATTAACGCGATGACTCAGAAGTTTTACAACAAAGAAAGAGCAAGAAAAAAAAAAGAAGGCTTCGAGTGACATCTCAAAATGTCGTGTGAGTTAGACGTTATTTACTAGTGATTACCAATAATTAACTTTAAGAAAAGGAAATAAAAAAGCTAAGTAATTCATGTTAGTTAAACAATTTTCTGTTTTAAAAAAAGGATTTGAAAATTAGTGATTAAACAATATACATTATTAAACAGTAAACAGTTATTTTAAAAAATGTTTTGTAGTAAGAAGTAAAAAAAAGATTAACAAAAGTGAAATGTTCTTAGAAATCTGAGATCGGAAAGAAAACTTAGAAATAAACTTTAATGAAAGCAGTTTTCTTGCATTTATAGAATTATTCTTTTATGTACTCTGTCCCTTGAAGACATGGACGATCGTGGCTCTCCACAACTTCTTATCCTTTGGAGTTCCAATGTTTGTCTCCACTTACTATTGCTCCTTCTAGTTCATGTTCAGCTATCCATTTATTACTTTACTGTTTCCTCCTTGCCTTCAATATGTCATTGTTTTTTGATGGTGTTCATCCTGTACAAAGCCCAAGAGCCACTCGAGGTAGAGAGTTAGTGTGTGGCGGTATTGACGACCTAAATCAACCTGTACATTTTTACTTTACGACTGAGCAAAAACAACTAGACTAGAGAAATAATCAAGGAGGCAGAATTTGCTCAACAATAAATATTTTATAAAACACAACAAATACAAAATATATGCTAAAGTTGTTAAAACATTTTAGAGAGTTCTTGATTGTGTGTAATATTGAAAGATTTGAAGTTGTTGAACTGTATGTATGAAAATAAGAAGATGTGCTTAAGTATTATTGTTGTTGGAGGAAAATTAAACAGTTCTTTTTTTTTGCATTAAATTAAAAAGTATTGTTCTTAATCTTAACTCACTGTAATTTCTACAGAGTTGTCGCTCTTTGACCGGAGACATTTGTAGTGGGGAAAAATAAATTGTTGGAGTGAGCCTTCTTTTGTAAGCTGGGTTTATGTTAATTTAAGTAATTAACGTTAAGCCTGGGATTGGGTGACAAGGTTCGTCTCACTTTGACTGTTGATGTGTCGATTTCCAATGAAGTCAAGTGAATGAGTTGAATATTTTAAGGGCTCACTGACTAAATCGCGTCGAAGTTTCGTATTTAATTTAATTCTCTTGGTTACGTTGGGGCCCGAGAACATGTTTTTACATTTTGTGGCGTCAATTCGAGATCAAAATTTTGGTCGGTACCTTCGGACGTAATTGATGACATCTAATTGATATTTTTCAACCAATCAGAATGTATCAGTTGTTATAAACTTAGGTGGGAGCCTCTATGTGTTTAACTTGCACATATTTGAGATTTAAAACAATAAATGTAGAACTCTGATTCTACAGATCCTATATGTATATGTAGATATGTATGGAAGATAATAGTTAACCCTAGGCTTGAACAGGTTAAGATTGTAGTGATTGGGGAAGCAACCTCTTGGGAGTCAGTTCTACAAGGCAGTTGTTCATGGGAAGAAGCGGCTTGAGTGGAACTTACATTTCACCATAAGAAATGAAGGTAATTCACTACAATGTGCCTGGCATGACGGGTCTTAAGAACTGGTTGAACTAAGAAGCATAGTTCATCTGAACTCTCACCATGGAAATAGCAATAGAACAGTGAGAGGTTGGTGACATCTCATCTGTGAGTAAGACATTGCAGAGTGGAAAATAATTTGTTGCCTACAAGAATGCTGAGACGGTTTTGGACTCTATTGGGTGTGGAAAGTGAAGACTGGCAGCACCTGCCTATATATGTCAACAGTACTCCATTTTTGGCTTGAATCTGGCTTTTCCACTTGAGGTCTGAGGCCTGCAAGCAGAGTTAAAAACTGTCAATGAATCTTTGCTAATGATAACAACCTTTTTTCAAACCCAGCTTTTTTCTCTGGAACAACTGTTTAAAAGTCTTTTCTAAACGACAGACTTTTTTGTGTATTGACTACCCAAAGACATTAACTCAACTAAAAACTATTTTTACTTCTTTTTAACTCTTCAGACTTATGTTTGTAAATACAAATGATTTATTTAACAGGCAGACACATGTTTTCTTTAATTTTATTATTGTTTGTTTATAATGCAGCATTTTTCTAAATGCTGTATTACTTATGGTTACTGTGTTACTAACAATATATTAACAATATTATCACTGAGAATCTGCTACATTTTATAAACTAAATTTTTATTTTACTTGAATACCTGGGACTGTCTCACTCTGCCTCACCTTCCGCACACTACTGTAGCAAAATCAGGTAAGAACAGAGAAAGGTTAATGAATACAGTCAAGCATGACAAACAGCAGCATTAGCAGTCTCAGCAGCAGGTAGAGTAGATTTAAGTCTCCAAATTCTACACTCAGGATTGTCCCACTGGACAATAGCCTAGTGGATTAAAGTGTTGGATTGTGAATTTGGTGACAAAGTAATTGCATGTTCAATCAGCAATTACTGAACAGTACTAGATAAAAACTAAATGAGAACAAATTTACTAGGTGTTGTTGTTTCTACCTGGATCAACCTCACACTTTTCTCAAAGCTGCTGTCATTTCTTGATGAGTATAATTTGGTGAGGGATGCATGTCTTTTATGTGACATTAAACTCCATCAACTTCCACCAACTGCTGACCGTTGACTTTGATCACATGGTTCACTTTAAATCTTGTAGTGCATCTATGTTTCGGGACCTTGACCTAGACAAGATTTTCCATCTTGTATATACACCCCACAGCAAAAGAAACACACAATCTCCTCCAAGATGATCTCTTGGCAATGGTTCTCAGGAGTGCTGGTATTGTCATGTCTGTCTACTCTTTGATGCCTGACCAGCTTTTGTGTTGCTGTCTCCACTTGTGTCCACCTTCATCAGTACCTTGTATATTGGTCTTGTAGAAGCCGTTATGCCATGTGACATGGACAAACAATGACATCTTCCAGTGCCTAATTTATGGTGAGGAGAGATTCCTGTTGACCCATGTGACTTTTGACCTTGTTCATTGGTTTTGTGCAGGAGATGCAGAGGAGTTTTCTCAAACATTTGTTCTTGAATGCCTGGATTGTTTTTCCTGTCTCAACTGGAAGTCTCACATCTGTAGAGGACGATGGATGCAACCAATGATTTGTAGTACTTGAACTTGGTATAGAAGCTGGTTTTGCTTTTCCATAGCCTTTCTAGTCTGGTCATCACTGCTGTGGCTGTGCCATTCTGTGTGTCAGAATAAGAAACACTGATTATATTAAATTAGATTTGTTTTTAACTATTAGTAAAATAGAGTTTCATTTACTTGTAGTCAATTGCTTATTATATTTCAGTATATATGAATTCATATTCTCATCTGTCTTTTTTTATCTATTAATCTGGACATAACAAAATAATATTATTAAAAGAAAACATCTTAATTAACACAATGAGATAAACATAATGGTCAAATTTCAGAATGATACGTTTTCCTTTGTAGATTGTTGATCTCATTTGCTAGGCTTGATTTGAACTCTACTGTTTTTTATATACAGTATAATGACATAAATAAACAGACTTTCTATTATTTTATTTAGATTTTAAATTTAATGAAGAGAAACTCATTGACAATTACTTGGTTTATTATTCAAATGCAAGAGAAATCATAAAAATGACGATCGCTTCGAAAGTAATGCCTCCAGCTATTTTATTATGGTAAGCCATCAGAGATGGATGCTGGTGTTATGGTAGTATACATTGAACCTTCCTGCTAATAATCTAATTTTGTCAATATTTAACCTTTGTACTGCAAGAAAAGTGTGTCAAAAGAACAGTTATTCTCTTGTTACTGTTATTACTGTATACAGTTTTGACTCTCAACAATGTTTATTGCTTTTGTAATTTTTATAGATATTTGAATAAAAAGAATTTCTGTTCAAGTTTATTACTTTATAAAATGGTAAATAAATTTTTATAAAAGATAAATAATAAATATCACATTGTACCTGGTTGACATATTTTAATAATCTTGTAAATAAATATTGACGGGGGGACTAAAATGTATATACAGTATAATGATGTCAAGGGAATAACTTTCTTTTTGACACACTATTTTTTTTGCAGGTACAAAGGTTAAACATTGCCCCAAAATAGTATTACTCACTGTAAAGTGGTGAATCAAAAAATATAACAAAAAAAAAGAACAATAGAATGGACTAACCAGTTATCGTTCCTCGCTTTTCAAAACACAATCGAGGATAAAATATATAAATGTGTAGATGATAAAATTTTTCTTTTTATTCATAAATTTATAAAAATTTATAAAATTAAAACAAGTAATCTGCTATGCAAAATAATCAGAGAAGAAAATGTATTGTGCAGAAATCAAGTTTATTTAAATTTTCTTATTCTATACTTCATTGAATTTTTTATCAAATTACAAATAAAAAAACTTGTTTTCATAGTTATTTTTAAAATGGTAAATAATAAAAATTGCATTATAGTTGGGTTACATATTTTGATACTTTATAAATTTTTGAAGAAAAATATTTTAAAAATTTATTTCTTTATAAAATGGTAAATAATAAATATTATATTGTACTAACTTGGTTCACATAGTTTTGTATTCTTGTAAATAAACATTGTTGAAGGAATCTAAAGTGTATACAGTAATAAGTGGTGTTAAATGAATAACTGTCCTTTTGACACATCATTTTTTTGTGGGCGTAAGGGTTAAATATTTCCCTAATATTTTTTTACTTGTTACAAATAGCATCAGT